TGTTCTCCATCGTTCTTTTATCTCTTGTGGCTTCCTCAGCACTATGTGCGTCCTTAATACTGTAGAAGTGCTCTACATCTCTTGCGGCGATTGATCTTCATTTGCGAGTCGGTAGATGTCTCGTTCGCCTTCTCGGGTGTGCAGCTTCTTGTAGAGTTCCCCATATACGCTTCTTTTGCCTTTTTGACACTTTTCTTGGCTGCCTTCGCGTCTGAGTATCTCTGCCGTGCCTCTTCTGGATTTTTCTTCTGCCACATTTTGTACGCTGTTTTCTTCTTCTTGATCATAGATTGCACCTCTTCGTTCCACAACCACGTTTCTCTGTCAATTTTTGCCCTTCCTGGCTTCGTACGTCCTAATAGACTGCTTGCTATGTGATGGACGTTCTTCTTCAAATTCTTCCACGTGTCTTCTGATTCTTCTTTCAAATCTATTAGGGCAGATTCCACAGCTGCTCTGATGCGGTCGTTGTCTTTGAGCTTCCACCATTTGATCCGTGCTACATCTTCTTTGCTTGTCGGCTAAAGTATTCAAATTCAGAATTAGCGGTCGATGTTGTAGTATGCAGTCTTCTCCGAGTATGACCTTGGTGTTCTTCACATACTTAAGCTCACTTTGTCGTACTGTCCAGAATATCCGCTGGCGTATGTGATGAGATGATTGTTTTTCTTTACGAAATATGTGTTTGCCAGTGCCAAGTCATGCGCCGTGGCGAACTCCAGAATACGTTCTCCTTCGCTGTTACGTGTTCCGTGTCCGTGTCCGATTACCATGGCATTTGCTTGTAGCACTTCGTTACATCCCTATATGCCCTTGAAGTCTGTTCCTATTAGTAGCATCTCTTCGCGTGGTATCGAGCCGATACAGTCATCGAGTGGGGCGGTATTTACCAATCTGCTGTATAAAAAGGGGTTCACCTACAGGTAACTGCCCGCCCGCACAGGCGCGGGCACTAGCGCTCGCGACATTTGAGGCCAAGCTGGTGAGCGGGCTCCTGCCTTTGAAGAATGTGGTCCGATTTGGCAAGTTTGGCCATCTCGGGCACGGCAGTCGGGTACGGCAGTCGGGCAGCAGTTCCCCATGTCGACGAGTCGGGCGGCGCTGCCCGTTTGGGCCGCGCTTCCCAGACTTTCATAAATCGCGGGTGGAGAAAGATGACTTCTGGGACGGTATTTATCAATCTCCCACTCGCTGTGCGAGCCCTCGTTAACAATGGCCCGCACAGCGAGTGGGAGATTGGTAAATACCGCCCCAGAACTCATTTTTCTCCATCTCCTTGCACCCAACTTGTAGTGCATAGACGGTTAAGACTCGTATAAATCTTTTCCCCTATCCATTCTGATGCACATTCGATCATTTATTCGATCTACGTCCGTGATTCTACTTCTCAACGCTTCTGAGATTACTACACCAACGCCGTTCCTGTTGAGGTACGTTTATTTGTACAGAAGCTTGTACCCGCCTCCCATATCCCGTGACTTCTCTCCTTTCCATTTTGTATCCTGAATACAGGCAATGTCAACCCTACGTCTTCTGAGAAGATCACCCGAATCGCGATGTCGTGAAGTGAGTGATCTTACATTGACGGTGGCTAGACGTAACGCTGAGAACTTGAATACTTGCCTACGGTGAGCTAGCTTCTTTAACCGTCCCCGCTCACCCTTCTGAAACGGTAACCCAAGCATATTGTTCGCATCCGTCGGGCTCGAATGCGCGCCGCCTCCGGGAGACGCCCTAGCTTTTACTCCGAGTACCTGAGGGTGCCTTCATACCGCGCCGGCAGCCGCCGCTAGCAGCCCGTAGCAGCCGCCAGCAGCCCGCAGCAGCCGCCAGCAGCCCGTAGCAGCCGCCAGCAGCCCGCAGCAGCCCGTGGCAGCCCTTAGCCGCCGCTGGCCGCCTTTGTTATAGGAGCAAAATCGTAATAATCTCACTACTTTGAGTGCTCCTGCCTACGCTTTTCATCTTCTTAGCTTTCTTCTTATTATTGCTAATATGCAGTTCATCTCCCCACAATTCATTTGTGTTCATTGTTCTGTTCCGCACATTGTATCCTATCGCGTCACATTCCTTTGCAATCTGTCTTATTTGAAAAGATGTGAGCGATTATCAAAGCAAGAAAAACTCAACCCGCAAATGAATCCCGGCGAGCTTGCGAAATGGTAGAATGCAAGTTACATATGCACCGATAGCCAAGAAAAAATTGAAGCAAAAGCATACTCAAAAAACAAATTGCACACCTGCTGGAACTGGACGCATCCAAAGTCAGACGAATTACACCGGAAAGAACCTCGGAATCCCCATGCTCGATTACCCCCCTGTGCGAACTCCCAGCCCCGTAGCTCAAACTTTGCAAAAAAATCGATAAAATCGATAAAAGTAATCGATAATCCTGAAAACCAATACTGTATTCGGAATCCCCATGCTCGATTACCCCCCTGTGCCAACTCCCAGCCCCGTAGCTCAAACTTTGCAAAAAAATCGATAAAATCGATAAAAGTAATCGATAGTCCTGAAAACCAATATTGTATTCGGAATCCCCATGCTCGATTACCCACCTGTGCCAACTCCCAGCCCCGTAGGTGAACTCAGCAAAAAAATCGATAAAAATCGATAAAACGATATCGATCGATGACGAAAAGTAGCCTATGACACCCGCCGGGGCCCGAAGTGTATGTGTGCCAAGTTTGGTCCGGATCGGTTCAGAAATGGAATTTTCTATTCGGAACATACGTACATACATACATACATACAGACATACAGACATACATACAGACAAACAGACATTCAGCTTTATATATAAGATGTGGTCAAACTGCGTACTAGCGGCAACAAAAGAAAAGCGTAGAAGATGAAAAGGGTAGACAGGAGCACTTAAAGTAATAAGATTCTGATGATTTTGTTCATTTAACGAAAGCGGCCAGCGGCGGCTACGGGCTGCTACGGGCTGCTGGCGGCTGCTACGGGCTGCTAGCGGCTGCTGGCGGCTGCTACGGGCTGCTAGCGGCTGCTGGCGGCTGCTACGGGCTGCTGGCGGCTGTTACGAGCTGCCAGCGGCGGCTGCCGGCGCGGTATGAAGGCACCCTGAGGAGACATGAAAGAGCATTTGATGCGATCATTTAATGTCTTCTTCAGCCGGCTTGTCGTTTGCTTTCTCATGGATTAGCAGCCTGACACTGGATTCGGGGGCAAGAGCTTTGCCAAAGGGGGGGGGGGGCGCGGCAAAAAAATTTTTCAAATGAAGGTGCGTGGCGTCAGCCACGCACTCCGAAAAATTTTTAGGGGGCTTCCCAAAATTTTTGCGGGCCCCCAACCCACTGAATCTGGAAAAAGGGGGCGTGGCGTCAGCCACGCCCCCGAAAAAATTTTTTTACAAGACTAATTTGAATTTTTAGAAAATTTTAAAAATTATTTTAATTGTTTACAAAAGTAAACAAGTCACTTGCACATTTTTATAACCCATGTAAGTAACTTTCAAAAATTTCGCGACCCATTCTCGGGGGGGGGGGGGGGCGCGCGCTCCCTCCCCGCCCCCCCCCCCTCGGTACGCCACTGATATATATATATATATATATATATATATATATATATATATAACTCAAACACTGTACCGTGTTTGTTAGGATGTTTGTGGCTTATAGACTCCTTTGTATGTGAACCAAAGAGGCTGAATTTTGTTTCCCTATAAACAAGCCACGGCGCAAAAGATAGGCTACTTTTTTCGACAATTCGCTGGGTCCTTCTATCGATTTATTGATTTTGTTTACTAAAATCTAGGAAAATGAAGGCTATACCATTCATTTCTCCGAGTGAGTAGTAAGGGGTGGTAGAGATCATTTACATATTGCGGTGAGGAGCATGCGATGTCATGAAGCGAGCCGGTCAAGAAAGAAGACTATTCACCACGGATACTACACGAGCGCTAAAACTGACATGGAGGTGAAGCAGGAGAGAACAGAAGATATGAACTGAAGAAAGTGGAGGACTGGTAAGTATACATCTCGAAGCACACCCTATGCTGGGCCATTCTGGACTCTCGGCCCGGGCGAGACCGGGAACCGCAGCTAGTGTTTTATACACGTAGTATGTCATCTATATATCGACCTCGAAACGGGACCCCAGGATCGATTTGAATTCGTGGCATAACCCATCAGTTTGGCGTGGGTCCTGGTGAGACTGATGGTTGCGCCATGAATTCATGCGATCCTGGGGCCCAGTTTCGAGGGGCAGTATCTCAGCGGTTAGAGCACTTGAACTGCCGGTTGGCCAGTGGCTTAGCTAGGGCCCCAAAATTACTTTCCACGTAGAACCCCCTCAGGTCCAGATTTGCCTGGACGCTGCCTCTAACATGCAAAAGGTGTGTATTGTTGGCCCATGCGGGACCTCCCTTTACCGCATGTAGTTCTCTACCATGAGACTAAGGCCCGTATGCACTAACATTTTTGCGGCGAGGGGAGCGGCGTCCCCTGTTACGAAGGGACCGCGTGCGGACGCCGCTGCGGCTTTTTCATCATTGGGGACGCCGCTCCCCTCGCCGCAGGGATGTTAGTGCATGCGGCCCTAAGGCTCTACTTGTAGAGGACTATATGTCGCCGAAAAAGGGCGGTCCCCGGGGTCATTTGCGACAAATACGCACCCTTGTACAAGCGTTCCAGGGAATCCGCGCGAGACTCTCCCAAATTCGGCGATATAGTCCTCCAAGACTCTACATAAGCTTCTCTATAAGACGAGAGTGGGCGCGTAGCTTCTGTAGATGTTGGAAATTGACCAACTCTTGCCCAAACAAAGCGGGCTTACGATCGATTATAGAAGTCGTTGCATTGCCAAACCGCGCAGCGAACGGAATCGCTGGAGGTACAGGGGCTCAATCTGAGTGTCACGGTCGATGTGGTTCAGTTCCTCGCGAGCTGCCCCGCTAGGGCCTTTCACGTGGTATACCGCATTCGTTAAGGCCTTCGCGGTATCTGCGGTTGTACCACGTGAGACACCCAAGCGAGGCGGCTCGCGAGGACCCGAACGACGTTGACCGTCATCTCATATTGAAAGCCCCTGTATGCTCAGGCTATGGAAACTATAAATCAGAAGATTTCACTGTGCCAGGTTTGATATGATGGTAACTTCGACTGGCCTAACGTTTCGACGCCTTCGTCGTCCTCAAGGCCCGAAAACAGGTAACATAAAGCCACCAAGGACAAGGTTCTTAATGAGAAGATTGTTTGTTATTACAAAGGGGTGCTCGATGTGGGAAGATGGAGAATGCGGAGACTCCTGGCCTTGGAGTTTTCAGAAAACCGTGATGATTTGTCCTGCGAAGCCCTTCCTCACACCGAATTTACAGCGTATTTGGGGGGCGATTACCTAAAACTACCCCTCCTTGAATATAAGGACCGGTCCCGCCACGACTAATGAGAATCTGTATGTCGTTGCAACCAGTCAACTTGATTACATCAGTAAGGCTGTCGATAAACGCGGCAATATTCTGAGAAGATATTGACAGGTTAGTTTATTCTCATTTGTATGAAGATTATGTTAAGGTTGTGTTATTTCTACTAACAGATAGGTGCTCATTCCTCTGTATTAAGGATCCAATCATAATAATTACAGATCGTTTCATAAGCTGGGTGATGTCAACTGTGGACAGCAGCGACTTCTATAAGGAGATAATGTATGGAGGTTTTTTGCGCGTTGATAATTTTTATAGGTTTAGGAATAACTGACAGAAGAGATTGGACGTATTTCAGTTTATAAAAAAGTGTCCCTAGTTTGTCTTCCGCTTTCCTGGGATTTGCGCTGCTTCAAACATATAAAATTAATTCTTTTCTTTTAGCGGGGTGAAATTTCTTCACAGGCCGATGTGTAACAATATCAGATTTCCCATAGGTACCTTTTGCCATAAAACTCGAGCAAGTTTGCTGCATATAATTATGGAGATATTGCTGAATTCGCATGCTAGTGTTTCCTGTTGTATCCATCAAAATCGATTTGAGGCTGATCCGTACCCTTAGATTTCCTTGGGTCAAAGATTTTGCTCGAACTCAGTGTAGATCCTGAGAAATCTACACTGATGTTTCGCTTGTGAAATAAGTCTGGTAATTGCAGTCAGAACTTAGATTCAAACAGTATACCTACCGTAACTCCACGAGGAAGCCTCAACGTTCCTGACCAATCATAATTTATTTGTGATCAGCATGAATATGTCGAGTAACTGCTATAGACCACTTTCTCCAATTCGTAATATCGAACCCCTATCGTATACCTACCATAACCTCACGAAAAGTCCTCACCTTGCGAAAAGAATGTATAACATGTTAACCAACTCTTATAGATGAAGCTTGAGCGAAATTCATTATTTTCATTTTTAATTTTTGATTTTTCCCCGCATACTTGGGCGCTAACTTTACTTTGAAACTAATCAGATCTACCACTCCAGTGGTAATAATCATTTTCAAGTCGGGCTGATATCTTGCATGTCGTAAATTTGTCTCTGTTCAGACAAATCATGTCCGAGAGGATCACTACAATCTCGGAAGAACTTCACGAAAAGGGAGTACGTAGGGGAGTAAGTCGGTTCCGAACTAATTGTTTTCGCCTAGATGAGGTGGTGCGATATGTTTGCTGAAGAAGATAATCGAGCTATAGAAACTTATACGATAGAAACTATTGGAGAAAGCGCGCAACAAGCCGCTGAGAGAGAGAAGCTAAGACGCGATATCGATAGGAAGAGAATGGAGTTGGCTCTAAAATATGAGAGGTTAGTTTTTCAAGTGTCTATGCTTTACTTGAATAAATCAAAAATGTGAATTTCACTGAAACTTTGCCTAAAGATATTCGAGACTCGATCAACGGCTTTATTGCTTTCGTGCTGTAGCGGCATTTTTACCTAATACGGTGGGCATGCGGCGGTGTGAAAGCGAATAAAGACTTTGATCATGGGACAAAAATTTCAATTTTGTATGATTTGACAAATTTGTATGATCACTTTCGTAATATCAGCAGCATACTGAAGATACGTGAAGTAAGTCTGTGCGGTTTTGAGACTACAAAACCCATCTGTCCTAGGCTACCGTAACCCTATAAAAGGCCGGGCATACATCACGCGATTTCATTGCTTCGCGATTCTCTCAAGACGGACATCTGTTACGAGTCCATTGCATGCCGATCACATTTTGGTTGTGATAGTTTCAAAAGGCGATCAGTTGCGACTAACTATCACAACCGCAATGCAAGATGATGCTTGGAAAGTTGTGACAGCTATCTTATGAGCAGAATCGCAAGGCGATGAAATCGCGTGATGTATGTCCGGCCCTAAAAGCGCGAAATCAGTAGGATGGTATCCGCGATGAGCTTGTAAAAAAAAACGATTGGTTATCTGGCAGAACTCACATAGTTTGGTACCGTTCTCCGAGATGATTCCGTAGATTTTACATTTCATAGATGTTTAAAATGTAAAAAAGCGCTTGGACAGTTTTTGACCATTTAGCAGTTCCTAGCATTTGTGCACTGAATCAAAGACACTAAATTGCAAACGGTTGTCTTTTGCCGCGTTGATTGCAGCTGCTCAACTTTGCGAGCTGCTGCTTTAAAATTAGGCGATCCATGTTGCTCGCCGCAGGCGCTCAAAAAGTGCATTGGCCACTGCATCATCCTCAGCTTTCTGTACTCCTGCGCTGTACATATACGTTTATCATTTGAAAACTCATAATGTGCACTTTATCACCCTCACTATATCTACACATACATACGCTTTTCAGGAAAAAATGTGCCCAGGAAAATGCTTCACCGAAGGACGCTTGTGAGGAAGTAAGTGAACATTTTTGTTTGATGTCAGGGTACAGGGTATGTGCTATGAAGTTCACGCACCATTTTCTACAAATTTACATGGATAAATTCTATGTTTGAAAAAGTACACATCCTAAGTTCCATGGGTTCCTTTACACTCTTTTTTATCTGATCTCGACTCGCTAATTTCCAACCAGCGGATTTGGAACATTACATAAAGCTCTTAGTTATAGTTAGACGACTAGTCAATAGGTAGAACCCGTGGTAGCTCTCGTAGTAAATGATGTGGTCTTTGAAGCACATTGAATGATCATGCAAATCGCTTTTCAATTTTTTGCAAGGTCGGCAGGGTAATGTGGAATGATTTCAATGAACCTGCATCTTCCTTGAAGGCAGCGTACATCCAAAATTTCGTCTCCCATACTTTTGTCATCTTGGGGCTTTTCCGTGACTCTAATCACAGTTATGAAATTCAAATTCTCCAAAATCCCCTCCCCCCCCCCAAAAAAACCCGATTCCCGAGGACCCACTCTTCAGAGGGAGGACGAGTTTTGAATTGCTCGACCCCTTTGGCAAGCCAGCCAGGAGCAGCTGCAACTGCATGACAGCCTGCAGTTGCAACTGCAATGCAACGTACACTACAGCTTACGCTGTCGTGGATTCGTCCGAAGGAGGCGGACGGCGGAAAAAGGGCGGAGCGCAAAAAGAATTAGGCGCGTTTTCTCCATTTAGAAGCAACATTGGGAGACCGAACCAACGCAGTTCTCTTCTTCTGGGCCCTACATGTACACCATATAGAGAACTAGGTAGCATAGATTTTGGGTATACGCTGACTTCAAGGGATATTTCTAGCTTCGCGTATAATTTGCATTTTTTGCAGCCTGAGCTTGTTCCCGAGGATCCTATTCCTCAGTGCGCTTTCATGCAGAGAGAATTTGCAGAAAGTGGCGAATGTGGGCGTCAGAGCGACTTAGCTCCGTCGAGAATGAATTATAGAGGAGACAGTATCCCAAGGCAGTACCGCCGAAGTAACATAACGTTGGTTTACTGTACGAATTTCATCGCTCACTATTCCAATACATGTTCAGGCCGAAATTCGAACGTCTACACCTCCAAAGGAGAAATCCGAACTGGAGACCGAACAGATACCATTCCTCGACGAATGGTTCTTGGCGTCATAACAATAACGATTCGAAAGATAGGAACTGGGATCGCCCCTACTACGCTCGCAGGGACCACCAGAATAGACGTTTTCACAATCGTCCTCGTTGGTACGACGAGGGCTGCCATTCGCGTCCGAATCATTTTGATCGTCCTCGCAGCAGCAGTAATGTAAGTTTTTACTCATTACTATTTGAAATTCACTACCACATAGTTAACAGAATCAGTTTTTGTGCTTTGCTAATTACAGCTGAACTTGCATAGTTTTCCTAAGATATACATTAGGTGCGACTACGAAAAACCAATGTGAGCGAAACTTAATTTGCGTAAAATCATCAGGCTTGCGTCACGATAAAACCTCTCAGTCTCCGCAGCGCCGAAAGCATTTGCGTTCATTCATCGTGTTGAGAGCCTATAGTCCATTTTTGGAATAGGGTGTCGGCATGAAAGGGCAGCACGTCAGCCCGCCTGCCTTCTCATATACTGAGGGCGACAGTCCTGCGCAACGCAGTCATCTGACTAGGCGTGTGGGCTTTCTAGCTATAGTATGCCTACAATAAGCAGTGGCACCTCTTTCTTGAAAAAAAAAAAAGAATGATATACAGGCATGCGAGGAAATGGATACAAAATGAGATTGGCTAGAAATAGCTTGCACACATATCGCGCTGCCGTTGCACTATGCCGAGCTGTTGCCTTTAGACACGGGCCATGAGCCGCTTAATCCGCTTCATCATTGGTCAAATCAGTGAACTGACGAATAGCGAAGCGGTATTCCATTTGATCCTGTTGACCCAGTTCATCTACTTCACTACTGGTCACTTCACTGCACCAGTGACGAAGCGGATCAAGCGGATCATGTATGGCGCGTGCCTTACACAACCTGTATATACCCCCTTCGCATCAGACTGTGGGCGGAGTACACGGTAGAGACGCCTGGGGCAGTATAAATCTTTGACATAGCGCTGCTCAAAGCCAAAAACGAGCGCATAACTGGTTGTGCCAGCATACTCCCATGCTTATAGATATATGATGATTGCTGCGAAGATCGTTGGTTTTGAGGTCACAAACAGTTTTTTTTCTAGGCAGAAATGGACAACTCACACTCAAACCGCGATAATGATCGACCTCCACCTTGGCGCAAAGTGCAGTCAAGCAGCCACAATTATCACCACTGATTTTTTTCTTCGCTTGAGCTAGGGTTGTCAAACAATCCAACTGTTTGTTTTGCATGGTAAAAGTTTATGAAACCTATGAGAACATAACGAACCGGAAGATTAGTGTTAGTAAAATGCTATAAGAAAAGTAACAAAATTTCCAGGTTGAATGGCAGTTAATATCATAAAACATAACAAATGTGGAACAATCTTTTGTTGAAACGTTCAATTTTTCGAAATGAGTGCAGTCCACGCAGCTTCTCGATATCGAGTCAATTCTTGAATTGGAGTAGCACTTGATGTTACACCTCTTCCAACGATGACGATATCATTTTGCTGTCGGATTATAGCCTGGAAGCATATAGGCGCAAAAATTTAGATATTGTGCTTTACGATCAATCTCTGCTTGGCTAGTAACACCAATGGCGAGCGGCCCACATATGGTGGCGCTGTTCTGATTATTGTCGAGTCAACGACCGCAGCGAGCGGCGGTTGTTGCGGAGCACACGGACGCGCGGGCCAACTGCTTGTCCAGCACAAATCGGTTGTGCAAGTTGCTTTCGTAACATTTGAGTCGCTCGTCAAGTGCTCCGCAATGCCGGTAGTGCTTGCGATCGAGGGCTCGACGGACCTGCAGATTTCACCGAAATACCACTAGAGAAAAACACAACTCACTTCATCAAGGCTTCTCCAGATCTGTCCTGCATTATCCCCTGTAGCATCCATGTTGACACCTGAATTGCTCTTAGAATTGGAGAAGAAAATCGCTAGCAGTGAGTCATCAACATTTTCTAGTCTTCTGACAGAGATACACCGTTTTCAAATCTCATCTTAAATATAAGATATCTTCACCTGGAGTCCAGTGAAGCATGTCGGGATGGGAAGAAATACGAGCTTGACAGATAAAACCACATACGACATCGCAATTATTGCCGCCTATCTCGGCAGCAGCTGGTAAAAAGATACGGAAAGGTGGTGACCTTTATACAGTCTAGAATTAGTACCTTCGGTGTATCCAGGTAAAGCAGTCAGTGATTCCTTTGTGCTCAACTGAGCTATTAGAAGAATTCCACTGAGACGGTATGCTGGATCCTCGATAACCTGAAGAAGCATCAATTACCCTAATTTCACGCGTACAAGGCGCGGGGGATTTTTTTCTAAAATCCGCCAGCCCAAACACACCACAACACTTCGCGATCAAAGAACCCTATACCGTCCGTATTGCCTGAGAGAATTGAACGGTTTGAGGTTCGCTTTCCGAATTACATTGAAGCGGTTGAGCGGCTTGTTTGAAAAATCAAAAAAGGTGCGCCTTGTACGCGTGAAATTAGGGTGCAGGGAACATCCAAATTGTCGATATTGGTAGATATATACAGGGTGTCCCAAAACTAAGTACACACTTTTCAGTCGTCAATATCTCTCTTCACAATGGGCCTTTTTTGGCCAATCAAGTACCATTCTGTAGAGAAGGCTTCAACTAAGATTCACAGTATCGACCGAATCACCAATCTCTCTTCGTTACTGTAGGATTACGGTAAAACATCTAGCATGTGGAACCATTGTGAAATACGCCATCTGACAAAATTCTTTTCAAAAAATCTGAAAAATCGTGTACTAAGGTTTTCGCGCACGCTGATTCCACTGTATAACTTTTTACTTGTGTTTTTAGCTTTTTTGACGGTGTAATCACATTTCTGACAAATACTGGGAATTCGGTTATTACGGCTTACCTGGGATAACTTTGGAAAGAAGCATCACAGTAAAGTGGAAATTTTATATTCGAAATCAGCGGCTTCCATTACCATAGTATAAGAGTGGCTGGTTGGCTGGCTTGTCTGGTTTTGTTCCGAGGCAGAATATGCCTTCCAATGTCATAAAATCCTTATCCAAGTTCCTACAGTAATCCTACAGTAAAGAAGAGAGATCGATAATTCACTCGCTACTGTAAATCTAATTGTATGAATCCTCCTCTACAGAATGGTGCTTGTATGGCGGAAAAAGACACAATGGGAAGAGAGATATTAACGATTGAAAAGTGTGTACTTACTTTTGGGACACCCTGTAGTGTGATAGTGGTCCCAAAACTTTTCTTCGAAGAAAGGGGGGGGGGGCAGGAATTTTCTGCGATAGGGGGCTCCCTAGCCGCTCCGAGAATTTTTTTGAGATGCCTTCCGGATTTTTAGCGAGCCGAGGTACAGTCTGTCCCAATCCCAACCAGGCCAAAATTGGCATGGCGGGAGTCCTCGTCGCTAGGGTTTCGAGGTCACGCCCACGGCCTGCTTCTCGGCTCTCTTCAGTTCATTTGCTCTCTTCGACAGCCGCATATGCAGCGCAAACCGCTAGCGCGCAAATTTATGCCGACGGTTCGGCCTGATCCCGATTGGAGCATATTGTACGCAGAAAGCTGAAGCCGCTCCCCAGCATAAAAAGCCAGATCCTTCTTCGTTGGGAGTGGCGGGTAGAGCACGGAACATCGATCGCTAATTAAGCCTGGGGAATGTTCAGAAAGCATGCTCGCGGGAGAGATACAGACCTCAGTCACTCCCAATGATACAGAGAGTAGGACTTATCAAACGCAGTGTCGCTTGCATCAGCATCTCCGCTCCTGCGTCTCTTTCGCGAACATGCACTCTAATCAGTTCCGATCGATTGAGGTTCCGCCTTTCCCACGCTCGCCCTGAGAAAATGATCAGAGAGCATGTTCGCGGAAAAGAGGCAGAGTCCAGCGCGGGAGTGGAGATGTTGATGCGAGCGACGTGCGTTTGATAAGCCCTTTATGTTGATCGCGCCGATAAAATTGTTAATCGTAGTTCCCTATGCCTATTCCGGTAGAATACCAGCGTTAAAAAAATTTCTCCTCATTTCCCGTTCCTTGAGTTTTTCTAAATGTGTCGAAAGCCGAATGTAGCCCAATATTGCGAAGCACGCGCGGCGCGGCTGAAATGTCACTAGAGCACATTCGTACAAAAACGATTTGTTACGAACGTGGCCGCGCGGTGCGTGCTTCGCAATCCACGGCCAGTCCGTGCGGTCGAGACTCGATGGAAAGTCACTGGAGTATACTTCTACAAAAACGATTTTTCCATTTCGTGAAAAAAGCAAAAAAAATTTTTCCCAAGCTCTAGCCAAACTACCTGTCGAAAGGTTGACGCTATAGACTCTGAACCTTGCACAGCGTGGACTGTGACTAAGTCTGCCCATTCTGCTATGCGCTGAGCTCCTTTCAGTTGTAGTATATTAGTATTTCCAGTATCTCCAAATTTTCTGGAACGAAAAAAAAACAATGAGTGGGAGTGCAGAAGACCAACGTCAAATAAACCAACCTGTCTTCAAATATAACAAACTCATGATCACCAGCCAATCTGACAAGCTTTGTTGTAAAATCGTCGGAGAAATCCGTGATTGCGTCTGCATGCACTTTTATGGCTATCACGAACGGACCAGCTTTCTCAGCTAGCTAAACAAACAACCTGTATTGACTTTCAGAATCGTAAATCCAAATTCCACCTGTAGAACTTTTTCAGATTCTGTATAGTCTATGGCCAAGCAAAGATTTGAATTCTTCTTCAACATAAGTGAGAAAACTTTCTTATTCAATGAACAAGTACTTTGCTGTGCTCGTTCCTCCAAAGGTAGTCGACCCTAGAAGAGACTCTCACTGCAGTAGAATATCTCGTCGGATCTCACCAACCAGACTGCAATATGGAAGGTTTGTAAGTTTTTCCATTTCTGATGCAACTTGAAGATGTCTTATCTCTTTGAAGGAAAGGTCTAGCGCCTAGAATAAACGATTTTTGTAGAAAAAAAAAGACTTGGTAAGCTTACTGATATAATGTGTGTCACAGTATCCTCGTTTATTGCGCCTACGGATGCGAGGAAGGTGAGGACAATTTCCATGTTTAGTAAGCTGGAAAATTCAATTTTTCTGCTATACGCGAGATCCGATTATGTTCGGATAATTTTTGCAGTTCCTACAGCATTTTGAATATAGCTATCCTCATGCAATCCATTTCCGCCACCCTGTCTTTTGCATACATCATAATTCATCCACTTGATCCGCTTGATCCACTTCGCTATAGGAAAACAGCGAATTGACCAATAGCGAGGTAGGTAAAGTGGATCAAATGGACATTCCTTTGCTATTGGGCAGTTCATTGATTTAATCAATATTTCGCAAGTTCGTGGCTTTTCTATAAACTTCATCACTGCTTTCACCTGTGCAGAGTGATTCCATGCTCTTGGAGTTTTTCCACACCGCCTTGTTCCCTGTCGAGTAAACAGAACACGTGCTCAACTACGAGTCCCTCGTTACGTAAGACATTTACGACCTAGAATATATAATTCCAATAATACATCTCTCCGCAAACAGCTTACCTCTTTGATACTTCCTCCGGTCGTTACCACATCCTCAATCACGGCCACTTTTTGCCCTTTGGTATACAATCCTTCAACCAGTTTCTTGGTTCCATAGGCTTTTGCCTCTTTTCGAGTAATAATAAGGGGTTTTGCTATGCTATGCGCTACCAGCTGCAAAATTGATAAACCTCAAAATGTGGTAAATTTCTCAAGACTTGCCGTTGCATATGGTAAGGCAGCGTACGGTACTCCAACTAACGCGTCGAAAGGTTCATCCGCGCGTTCTATCAGTGATTTGAGGCTATCCGCAGCCAAACCCTATTTTGGTAGAACCATGTTAATTGACAATGACAAATGCTTGCATAAAAAAAAGCCGTACCATCAACTCCGGATATCCGAAACATTCTCTGAGATCTATATAAATAGGTGACTTCTGGCCACTTTTCAACACAAATTCACCAAATTTGAAAACCTTAACAAAGTAAAATATCTTACTAAACATGGTTCATATTGAAAATGAAAAAATATGAAAAAAGTGAGAAATTGCAAATTTATGCCTGCCTTTGAATTCAGCAACAACCGTAGTAGATTACGTTGACGAGCTCCATTCAGTGACTGTTCGATGAGCAACTCCATAGCGTCAATTGACAGAAATTCCGCATAAAATAGCGCCACAACTACTTGGGCTGTTAGCTGAGGAAAGTGGTACCACAGGGCACAGTTGAGCACAGCAATGACAACAGTGTCAAGGGCAAACTGGCCTGGGGCAGTTGGATCTGCCCTTAGATAGAGATGAACGCGGAAGAATTGATGGAATTACCACATCTTGCATGGACTACAAAGTTGGCAGTTGAACATTTTATTCGTTTTAACATAGAATTATTCCAGTCCGTACACCCGTTTGGCGTTTCGTGTTGTCATCTCGGCAACCTGAAAACTGTAGATCAAAGGCGCTGGACTTCTATGGAGTCTGCAAAACCTTTACTTTTTAATTTACAGCAAATGTATGAACCTAACGAGACTAGTTTATCTTATATGTAAAGCTGAATGTCTGTTTGTCTGTCTGTATGTCTGTCTGTATGTCTGTATGTCTGTGTGTACGTATGTTCCGAATAGAAACATTTCTGAACCGATCGGGACCAAACTTGGCACACATACACTTCGGGCCCCGGCGGGTGTCATAGGCTACTTTTCGTCATCGATCGATATCGATTTTATCGATTTTTTGCAAAATTTGAGCTACGGGGCTGGGAGTTGGCACAGGGAGTAATCGAGCATGCTGATCACCCCGGTGGGGGTGACCAGCATGCTCGATTACACCCCTCTGCCAAATTCCAGCCCCCTAGCTCAAATTTTGCAAAAAATCGATAAAATCGATATCGATCGATGACGAAAAGTAGCCTATGACACCCGCCGGGGCCCGAAGTGTATGTGTGCCAAGTTTGGTCCCGATCGGTTCAGAAATGGAATTTTCTATTCGGAACATACGGCGAAGCCGGGTAAGCCAGCTAGTCTTATATATAAAGCTGAATGTCTGTTTGTATGTATGTATGTAAAGGCAATTCATAGCACGCAAAGACTGCGGACTTATCGGCGTCTCTTTGACCGAGCGCTCTTTCGTTTCTCTTACCATCTGCTGTCTCTTCCTTACACGAACTATCTTGGCCGGACGCAACGGCGCCCAGTCTTTGCGCGTCACGAATCGTGTATATGTCTGTCTGTCTGTCTGTCTGTCTGTATGTCTGTCTGTACGTATGTTCCGAATAGAAAATTCCATTTCTGAACCGATCGGGACCAAACTTGGCAAACATACACTTCGGGCCCCGGCGGGTGTCATAGGCTACTTTTCGTATCGATCGATATCGATTTTATCGATTTTTTGCAAAATTTGAGCTACGGGGCTGGGAGTAGGCACAGGGGGTAAGTGAGCATGGGGATTCCGAATACAATATTAGTTTTTAAAATCGTGCATTACTTTTATCGATTTTATCGATTTTTTTGCAAAGTTTGAGCTACGGGGCTGGGGTTTGGCACAGGGGGGTAATCGAGCATGCTGATCACCCCCGTGGGGATGATCAGCATGCTCGATTACACCCCCCTGCCAAATATCAGCCCCCTAGCTCAAATTTTGCAAAAAATCGATAAAATCGATAAAAGTAATGCGCGGTTTCGAAAACTAATATTGTATTCGTAATCAGCATGCTCGATTACCCCCCTGTGCCAAATCCCAGCCCCCTAGCTCAAATTTTGCAAAAAATCGATAAAATCGACATCGATCGATAACGAAAAGTGGACTGTGACACCCGCCGGGGCCCGAAGTGTATGTGTGCCAAGTTTGGTCCGGATCGGTTCAGAAATGGAATTTTCTATTCGGAACATACGGCGGAGCCGGGTAAGCCAGCTAGTTATTTATACTTTTGAAAAGAATGTACGGGGAGACGGTCAAGAGGCGCGATTTCTCCGGCTGTCATTAGCTTAAAACTCCAGTTTAGTGCTATGCGAGCCTTCAAAGAGTATCAGATGAAGTGCATTAGCTTACTATCTGTCTGACATTACCAACTGCTGAGTTTGGTGGCTTTTGCTGGAAAATGGACCGAAATATTTACGAATTTGTTCTCAACTGTATTTTCATGGGTTTTTGACCTTCAAAGTTTCTATTTTTAACCGACTTCAAGGTATTAAGATTGAACCACCCATGCAACCATCTGATGCATCTCCTTTCAAATTTGAGTGCTTTTAGAAAATCATAAAACACTTATTATTGTGTTATTAGGTGTCCATCTGGCAATAAAAATCGCGCCTCTTGACATACACTCGAATGTACGTATGGTCTCGGAATCTTATTATGGTAGCAGCTACATTCTGAACTGGAATGACAAATGTTTGAACTAAATATTTTCTAAAACTTAGTTGCCAACTTTTTGTTTCACTATTACATCCTGAAGGAGGAGGTTTTTGAATTGATGATCGGTTAATACCTCTTTAGGATCCTTGCCCATGAAAGCGGCTATCATTTCACAGATGGCTGCCAACGCACAAGGCTCATTACGATCGAAGGAGGCGAACTGCAATTTTAACACTGTATGAATCTCACACCTCAAAATTAGATATTCACCTTATGTAACTGCTTAGCAGAATCGCTTATGGCTTCTTTGACATCTTTTGGCAGCTTCTTATCATTTATTTTTGGGTACATAAACGGAGCATCAGTTTCTATCAGCAAACGTTCCAGAGGTATAGAGCCGTTTCGCAAAGCTACCTGCACCCCATTTGGCAGCCGATCCTTCCATAGAAAACCTGCAGATCACCAGTTCTTAGTTTTTAAGGTTCCTCAGAACTAGGCATGCGGCGTCCCTTCCGCGACTGCAGCGGTACACACAGCGTATGCCGCTGCAGTGGCGTACGCGAAAGCGTATACCTAGTCTGAAGAACTCTAAGCCCATGAAAGGGATAGAGATGATACTGAAAAATATTGAAACTAGTAGAAGAAATATGAAATCTGTAGAAAGTAGTATGACGTTTATGTTGACCTGTTAACCCAATGTACAAGCCCATCTCCACATACTTCTTGGCCTCTTCTTCTGTGCCCGTAAAACAGTGCATAACAGCAGGTGGTAGCCTAAAAGACGAAATGGATAGTCATAGCGGCGCGGAAAAACTTGATTAATGGCAAGACACTGTATTGAGCTTACAAAACAGAAGAACGATTCTATTCACCTCTCTCCAGCATTGCTAAGGATTCGTACCATCTCCTCATGAGCTTCTCTTTCATGTATGAATAGTGGTTCATTGAGTTCACATGCCAACTCAACCTAAAAGAAGCAAAAATAAAAAACATAAAATTCAGCAAGATAGCTGGTACATACCTGCTTTTTGAATACTTCCTTCTGCACATCCGGAGGTGAGAAATTTCTGTTGAAGTCTAGCCCACATTCTCCTACTGCAACACATTGCGGGTGAGCCTGAAATTAAGCGTTTTAGAATCTTCTTCTAGAAGGCTAATGCGTACCTGAAGAGTTCTCAAAGTATCCAATGAGTCTTCACCAAAATCTTTAGCATCATGAGGATGCACACCTATATTGAGACTATCAGCTACATAAGATTGGTTGGTAAAGCATTACCTGCAGTGAAGTAAAGGAAACCTGGCATGGTCTCAGCAAGTTTCTTACATTCTGCACTCACTTTTTCAGATGTGCCCGTGATCATGAGCTTGCAGAGACCTGGAAGAGGCATATGCTCGCTGGACCTATAAAATCCATATGAAATAATGAAAGCCTTTCAGAATCAAGTCTACGTTAAGCAAGGGCTGACATTTTCACACATTGCGGCGCATAAGCTTAACCAGTTACAGAGCAAGAGAGGGGGGGGCTTTATTTTTTTGAAAATGATCTATATGATGAAACAAACCTGCCTGTTTTGCCCGCGTTATGACATCATGCAGATCATTTTTGTATGAGGGATGTCCTAGATTAGCACCGATATCCACCAATTCATAAGGGACCAATCGTTCTACAACATCTTTTGACATTCTTCTCAATGCGTTACAATGACGCAAAAGCAGCAAAGCTGCCGTAATCTAGAAAGCAAACTTAGCAAAGCTTTGCCTGCTCTGGACAGATAATGCACAGAGTTGCGGCGAAAATACCCTATTACATCTTATACAGCCCTCAAGTAACTAAAAAAAAACAAAATACCGTGATTTCTGCAGCTCTGTGCATTATCCGGTTATGTAGATGATCATTAGTACTGAGCAATAGGACTGCTGAAATAACATCTCTGCCTACAAACAGTGCTCGACGACTTTATATTTATTTGAGCACATAAAACGTTCTTCGACTCTTGCTATATGTACATGATAAATCAGAAATGACGTTATAGTTCATCCACTACTCCCATCCAAGATTTCGTCGAACAACGGGATCGTCTAATGCCTTCAATTCTTCTTGCTTCTGTTTTAACAGGATATCTGGGATGTACCGATAGTCCTCGTCTGCTTTTTCGTGTTCTTTGAAGGTCACCTGTAATAAAAAGAAAGAATTAAAGTTTACTAGAAAGGGAATTTTGGTTGTTTTGTGACCGTAACCATCGCAAGTCGTTATATACAAGACTTCCAGAAAGACTTTTAACAATCTTTGTGTAGTTCGTGATGTAGGGTGTGTGATGATGACGTAGACATCATCCTTACTAGTATAGAGATGTGGGATCTTGCAGACATCTCTATACAGTAAGGATGATGTCTGTGAGATTCTCCGACATCTTGCAAGCCTAACAACGAAAACTCAAGAAAAAAACAGCTGTTTGTGCATGGCTAATAACACTCAAGACAGCAAAATCACACATCTGCTTACCGTAACTCCAACAGGCACATGAGTTTGGATGAGGGAGATGAAAAGTTGAAGATGGGGTGCAGGTACATTTCCAAGCCTTACCACTCTTCAAAAAAAAAACAACTTGTAACAATAAGACAATTCGATAATCAAAGTCTACCTGTCGTACAGCGATAAATTCACTTCATTCTCCACTATAGTGCTATTAGGTTTGTAGACAACAACCCGTTGTGTTTGAGCGGCAACTGCATAACTAGAAAACTGAAGTTTACATGCAAAAAATAAGAGAGATAATGCTGTCAAATTACCTATCTATAACATTGAACTTAAATCGTCGCGCCATTCTGTCGACGTAGCCTTGAAATTTTTCGATGTGGGTAAAATCATAACCTTGGATGCGAACATTTAGGGTCTCATATCTAAAATAAACGACTGTAGAGTGTAGACTGACAGCAGTAGTAAGTGTTGTAGTGGTTCTTAGGTAGTGATTACTTGGACTTTTGCTATGATCAGTTTACATTCCTAAGGTGGCACTGCAGAGAAAAATGACCACATCATGATCTGTGTCCAGCGGACTAGCAATAAGATAATCAAAAGATTAGAAAAAATTTATTTGATCTGTATTAGTTCTAAACAATGCCTTCGGTCTATTGAGGTATTTTTCACGCTAAGTATTGAAGTTCTGACCTATGAATAAATGATTTGCCTTGATATATCCACGACAACGCGCCTTAGTCTTAACCAACTAGTTGCTGAGAAAGGAAAAACAATTCTGCAACATCAACACAAAGGTTCGAGATCAGAGTCTCAAGACACACCAGTGACGCACCTTTCCTTACAGGTAATCTGTTACTCAGACGGTAGAATCAATAACGGCTGATAAAGCAAATAAGGAAAACGTAAGCGAACCAATACATAAGCAGTGCACAGTGTTGGACTTACTCAGGATACTCTCGCCTATCTGGAAACTTCGGTTCATACAACAGTGTTGGGTCATTTGGCCCTGCCATTTCTCGCAGAGATGCAAATCCACGACATAGTCTTCTACACGCTATTCTTCCTGTCGCCAACATCTGATAACAAAGAAAAAGAAGTGATTATTATGATGGAGTGATCGCTTCGCACACACTCAACCCCGTGGTAAGTAATGACCATACATAAGTTAAGTGATGAAACATGTTCAGATATATTTATACATGTTGAACTCACATTTATCACAAATAGAATCAAACTAGCACAATGTATCACTTGCTACTTTTTAAAGTTCATTCTGACTTTTATTGTAAAAAATGATAAGAACAGAAAACGGAAGTTCTGAGGCGAAAATTATACTGGAAGCTCAGAAAAAAGAAAAACAGCTAACGACCGATCGAGCATATGCTGGCAGAGGTCAAAAGAAAGAAAGAGCAACCCCGGAATATCTCGTGCAAATCTGCTGTCTTTAAACGCAAGGGAAACAGAAAGCTCAAAACTTCCCGCGCTAGAACAGAAATACTGGCTAAGTAGAAGAACTTAGAAGGAAAAAGAACAGAGACACCGACTGGTAGTACTATTCAGCGTATTCTCGCATACACCACTTTGTCATTATTTCTTTGTGCACATCTTTAACATTTATAAAAATCAAAGACAAACGGCGAAAAGCGAAAACAAAAATTTGCAAGTAAGACAATGTATATACACTGAAAATAAGTATTACTTTAGTAGTAAGAAAGCCGCGGAGGCATGGGCAATTCCGGATACGGCGCAACACCAGTCCTCGGCGGAAGAGCTGGTGCAGCTTGGGCATACTGTTGATCTCGCAGTATAGAAATCAATCGATCAGACTTTACTTTTCTAAAAAAATAAGATATAAGCTTGGTTAGAAAGGACCAACTAACAGACCTCAAATGAGCCAATGTCTTTTTCTCCAGGAGATCTTTGAGAAACTGTTCCATTGAAAGTGTGCCCGCAAGGAAAGCTTTCGTTGTGCTCTGCAAGTAATTAATGACGATGAAATTTTGTCTAGAAGTAAAGATAGACCTGACCTCAGCATCATCATCAGCTTCTTGAGCAGCGACCTGTAATAGATTACTTGTCGTGTCCAACGACTTAGAAGAAGATATTTCATCTGAAAAGACCTTATTCAAAAATCGCAAAGGAGCATCTAACTCTCACCCAATTTTGCTTTCAGAGATTCCGTCTCTGTCCGCAAAGCGGTTGCTTGCTCATGCAGAGTTTTGACCTGGAAAGATTTTGGTAACATCTCGAACGGACAAAAATGAGCAAGGCAGAAAATATAAATATCACACATACTGCATACCACAAATTGATGTAGGTGAGATGGCGGAAGAAACCCATCTCATTGAAACGGCCGAAATGCTCACTATACTTTACGTTTCCATCACTCATGTTGTGAAAACACTACACAATTCAACTTAACAACGTCAAAATACAAAAATATTAGGGCCGCACTTCAGTGTCCCAAAGAACGCAGATATTCTAATAATGCACTAGGAGATCGACAGGTATGCAGGACAAAAGATGAAACTAATTGTTCTAGAAAGGGCTCCCGCTGACCAATACCAAAAACACATACAAGTTGATTACATACTGGTCACATAAAATTTGCGGTTGCAGAATAAACAAAGCAACCATTCCAATCAAAATAAAACGAAACAGACTATTTTGAAACAGAAGAGTATTCACCTGTGTCCGAAGCTGTGTCAATTTCGGCTCCTGTGCCAAATTCCATTCAGCCAATGATTTATTCTGTGCAAGTCCAGCTTCACGCTCAGTTGGCAAAGAGCGAATCTGTAAAATGTACAGTTTAGAGAATTAAAGGGATCAGCACGTACTATGCACAGAACGAAATATTCTCTCTCAATGGGAGCGCCACAATCTGATTAAAGACACCGTCCACCCAATGCTCAAAGGCACCGTCCACCCAAATTCTTGACTTCCATGTTTTTCTCTTTCCTTAACATTCTCATGTTCCTGATTCCGAATATTAAGTTGAGAGCCGCGAAAACCCCAAGAATCTTCATTCCATAGAACCAGCGAGACAAATTTTGTGGAACAGTGATTGGCTGGGTACCATTATGGATGGGCGGGGCGAACGTCACGCCCACTGAAAGGGGAGAAGCCAAGTGGCGACATCATCCGAAGCGATTTTCGAAGCAATTTTCTCGCTATGGAGGCACTTTTGGCAGCACGAGTGGGTAAGTATATAGTTGGGAGCCCCGCTACTGCTAGGCATCAAAATCTCACCGACTCCATTTTGGGTGGACGGTGTCTTCAAGGCAATAACGATAGCTACGACATCGCTCAGACCGCCCGGCACCATCCTGACCCGCCTGAAACGCAACGCGCCGAAACCTGCCAAAGCAGAGGAGCAACGGAGATATTTTATATTTTTATAGTTTCATTTGCACAACGCGCGCGGCATTTCACGCATGCTCCAAAACGCCAATTTCCAGTATTTCTACCGCTTCCCTCATTTGGCAGGCTCCAGCGCGTTGCGGTTCAGGCGGGTTCGGACGGGTTCCAGCGCGGTCAGAACAATGCCTAAGGCAAACAAATGCTCGTGGGCATTTAAAGAAGAAAGACCGACTTTGTATCTCAGCTCGAAAAAACAAAGCAATCCTCTACTATGCACTTTCTATTCAGGAAGCATTCCATACGCAATCCTCCAGCCCGATTGCCTATCTTGCTTACTAGGTGAGACCTTGCCCTCTAAGTCATTACCGAACGGCTTCCTCTTTACCAAATCCTTGAATCCTGGTAGCAATATGTATGGTATCTCCCCTCCAAAAGTCTTCACATTACACAAAATGATTTCTATGATTCACAGTAAAAAAAAATTCGGCACAGAACAGAGCCCCTATTCTACACAAAAAGACTAATGAGTCATCCACAACTCACTGTCGTAGATAACACAGCAGGAAGAAATGAGGTCTTTTGAGATTACTAGCCCATATCCTGGACAAACTGAACAAGATAAGCACTTCAAAAAACCAATGAGAACTCTTTAAAGGAGCTCAACATTCCAGCTGATTCTCCTTGACTTTGGCTACTAAGCTCAAAAATGACAAATTAAGATTCACCTGAGGAAGACTGTCAATTAGTGCATCTAGACGAGAGTCGTTGTAGAGCAGATCATTGAGTTGATCGTTACTCATCGATCGGATATTTGCCATCGCCGAGTTAACGCATATGTCAACGAGTGAATCATATGTGCTTTGACTATTATACATGTTTACCTGAAAAAAAATGGTTTCATTTTAAGCTAAATAAATCGAACAACAACAAAATTCGTGCAAATCAAGTGTACACATGCGAACAAAGCAACAACATGAACAATGCGTACTGATATTTACTCACACTTTGTGAAAAGAAGAGAAGGAAGGAAAAACACCTGAGTTTGCTTTTACAAACCTTTAAAGGTTCAATAAAAAATTCACCGAAGGACATGAATTAGCGTTTGAGCGCGATAACTGTTACTGTTTTCTTGTTTATAAATGCTGTTTTACAAAAGGCTCTGCTACATAATGGTGACTTCAAGTGTCTTGCTTTTGCAGATTTTCTGCTACTTAGTGGCAAAATCTTCTATAATGAATAATGGCGAAGCCTCTCAGCACCATGAGATCAAAGAAATTGCGCAGGACGCCGGTACGTATTTAAAAATCTCGTTTTCTTGTCAATTTATGATTTATGACCAAATGTCGACAGCTTATTTGCTTTGTAGAGCACTATCCTCTCACATAATTGCCTGTTATGTACGAAATTTTGCCGTTTTTTGAAGTACGCGTGGATTCGGTGCACTTTCGAAAAGAGATCGATCCATGGCGAACTGTCCAAATATGTACAACAGGCTGTGTATCTGTTTCGATTTAGCTCCTTATCCTGCTACGTATTCCCACAAAAATAGATTTATTCATACGTACCTGTTTGATTTTTTTTGACTTTGTGTTCTCTGCTTGACACTCTGCTCTTTATCCAAGTAACATTGCAGCGCGCTTCAGCGTTTTCGTGGAAAAGTTGTTCCGTTGCTGCTGAGTATATGTATATCTCGAATAGAACGTTTTTTATCGTTATTCAAGAAGATCGCAACGTGTGATAGAAATCTACTTATCAGCACTTTTGAAAGTCAGTGCTGTAAGTATTGGTTAGGGGTATATTGAGTTTAAAGACGTAAATATATGGTTAAGATGCATTTTTCACATGACTTTCTGCTCCATTAAATTTTTGGCAGTTTTTGTTTTGAGTGATAAGTAGAGAGTAACCTGCAGTCGCAATGTGAAATACCCAAAATTATTTATTCCAGTGGTGGCTTATAAAATCTAAAAAACTGAGGTCCTTTCTGTCGAAAATTTTTTCCGAAGGCATGAGTGCTACAAGAAACAAAAAATCCCGGAATTTTTTTTTTGAGGCCGTGACTGTCGCCATACCTTTACCCAATTTTTATTGCGCCGTCCCTCCTTCACAATTTTTGGAGCCAACGCTCCCTTTTATCATCCTGTGACTTTCCAAATTTTTCGCAAGGCCTATAAGAGGGGGGAAAATACACCCAAGCGGGAGACGATTTTTAGGCGCGTTTTGGAAAGTCACTAGTTCAATGGCTCAATTTAGATCATGCAAGTCTTTCAAGAATACCAGACAAAGCAATTTTGCTTGCTAGGTATTCAAAGTTACTAACTGCTAAGTTTGACGGCTTTCGGTGAAAAACTGATCAAAGTATTTAGAAAATTGTCATCGTGTGCATTTTCAAGGGTTTCCTGCAACGGTTTCCTTTTATCTCAAAATAATAAGGCCGAAGCCCATGCAGCTATCTTTTATACCTCCTCAGAAATTTGAAAGTTTCCCAGAACATTATTAAACACTAAGCGTGCGCTATTAGGTGTCCATCTGGCAATATAAATCGCGTTTCTCAAAGGTAACATCCCGGCAAAATTTCGCTCCCCGTTTTTTCAGCTCTTCGGAGCCTTCTCGCCATGCTGAAGCCATATCTGAGCTTTTCGGCGGAAAATGGCAAAAATGAGCTTCTTTGAAGCTTTCCGTGTCCGCGTTCGCTTCAAATTACGTGTCAGAAGTGGGCGTGGCCTAGAAAATGGGCGGGGTAAGACTACCGGAGCGGATTTTGGGCCTTCCAGAAGCGCTTTTCGCTCCAAACTTCACTGATAGTCTATCTGGAGGGTCTACCGTTGGAACACTATAAGATTCCGGTACCCATCATTTTGAGGGGACGCTGCCTTTGACATACACCCAGGAAACACCTAGGTAAAATAGTGGTAAACACACTCCTTTCTATGGCAAGTCTGCTGATGGATGGATCTAATTTTGGCGATCGCAACATTAAGGTTGAGATGAAGACATTAACAACTTCTGCCATTACCTATGCATGCTGTCTTCTGCTCAAACTGAGAGAGTTTCTGAAAATCGTATCCAAGCTATCAAATGTTAACGGAAAACGCAGTTGAGCTTATTTTTCATTAGCACTCTTAGCCGTATATTGCAGAGTTCTTGATGCTAGAAATCCTCGTCCAATTCTTACCATTCCTTCCTTTTTTGAGTAGTTTTCGGAGTACTTTTATGGAATCAATCTTGGACTATCTGATCGCTACGATTACCGACAGAAAACAGTATCTTTTTTAGGAAACTGACGACAATATGCAGGCGTCGACATCACAACAACCGTCCATAGGTCCGAACCATACAAAGGTAATTCTATCTAGATAAGTAATAGGAGTAGGTTGACGAAGAGAATGTCAATAGCTATTCGTAGTAGACTGTTGCCGAAATTGATTTCCTTGTGGGAATCGATCTCCCATCGGATCATCTTTTAGATTTGTGACTTGAGCAAATCTTCTTACAAGGAATGCGTGTTTAGTCGAAGTGGCCTTTTTAAATGGGATGTATACAATAATAAAGGGCATAAATTGCAGATTCCAAATATGCCTTCCTTATTTGCAGAGCGTTTATATTCGAGAAGTTATGAGCGCTTATTGGGGCAAAAAATTGAATGTTCAAGTAGGACAAAAATAGCCGTAATAATTTTTCTAGCTCTTCAGTGGAGCAGCGACGAGCATCAGAGCACTTTATTTAAAAAATACTCTCAAATAAAAAATATATCACGCTTGGTTGCATTATTTGAGGGCTAGTAAAACTTTAGCAGCTCATATTATCCCAAATGCACATTCAATTTTTGGCTTTAAAAACGCTCATAACTTCTCGAGCATAAACGCTCTGCAGATAGGGAAGGCAGATTTGGAATCAGCGTTTTATGCCCTTTAATATGGTATACATCTCTAGAAAGGTCACTTCGACTAAACAAGCTTCCCCTGTTAGGAAAAAAATCACTCAGTTTTTTTATTCTCTAGAGGAATTTTTTTCATATTCTGGATAAGTGCTAGAAAGGCTACGATCCTTTCAATCCGGTTAAAACGAATATTATTCGAAAGTTTTACTTCCGAAGTTTCAGCATGGTGGCGAAATCTGTCCGGTTTACAGCCGTCCCGATCATGGATCATCAGGAAGGCTCATACCACTCGTCGTCAACTGGTATCGGCTGAACTGTGGATTAGAAGGGAAAACGGTAAGCCATTTTTTGTTCCTATAATGTTAGAAATGACAAATACGCGGATCCAGATATATTTGGAATTTTTGTTCGCACCATCAGAAATTCATAACTTCTGATCTTCCCAACCCATTTGATTGCTTTCATTTTTGTTTGGAAGAGCAAATCATGCCCTTTATAGCGATATTTTAGTGCCTTACTAATGATCATGCATTGCATAGATGGGAGCGACAGAAAAAAGTACTAGATTTTGTAATTTTTGTGGAGGGCTGTAAAAAACCTACATCTTGCAATAAAAATCGAAGCAGCGATGTTTTAGGTTCTATTACTTGCTCTTTCTAAATGTGCGAAATTTAAGCTAATTAAACATTTCTATGAAAAGTTATGAATTTCGAGCAAGCAATACAAAGAGGCAATTTTGCATTATTTTGGCATTTTTCTCGTAAATCATAACTTTTGATAGAGACATTCACTCAGCACAAACTTTTCTCAGTAAGAAAGTGTAGATAACAACTCTGTAATACCGACCTCTCCGATTTTTATTGCAGATTTCAGATTTTTTTATGACCCTACACAGGATACTCAAAATTTTCTCCTAACGTTCCTATCTACGCAATATATGATCATTAGTAAGATGGTAAGATATGATAATGGCATGGGACAAAAATAAAAGCAAAGAACGAACTTTGGGCCAACCTGATAGATGATTTCAGCGCCTAGGGTAGTTTTGAAAATGATGAAGCCCATTTACCAGAAGTGCTGCTTCTAGAGCTTTCGATTCTAACTTATTTTCAACTTCATTTGACGTTCTGGACGTGCGATGTTCCAAATTATTAGGTGGGTGCAAAAGTCGTTCGCCAGTTTTTCAAAAAATCGTAACTTCCTTCTAACTCAATGAATCTCTTTGATATTATACTCATTTAGAAGAGAAAACTTTTCTTTTTACAGCTGTACCTTTGCCATGAATTGGCATGAGAAAGTTCGAAAGTTAAAAGCAATTGAAGAAAAGTACTCAGGGTTGGCATTTTTCAAGCAGGGTCTCGAAAAATTCTGGAAATATTTTTGTATGATAGAGAAAATCATGCTCTTTACAATATTGCCTTTCCCATGAGCTAAAACGAAAAAGATCGAGAGTTAGAAGCAAATAAAGGAAATTACTTCAGTTTTGCAGTTTTTGAGCATGCTCAAAAAAGCCTAAAAACATCACAGGAAGGGCGGAAAAGTCATAAACGTGGGTTTTGTAACCTTTTCTTTCTAGCTAAGCGAGTTTCGAGCTGATCGAGAGCGATTTTGATTTTCGTAATTTTTTCGGATTTTCGGGTGTGCGTTTTTCACGAAAAACAAAATTGTTCGCGATTAGCACGAAACTCACTCAGCTAGAAAGAGAAGGTTACAACACCCATGTTTATGACTTTTCCGCCCTTTCTGTGATGTTTTTAGGCTTTTTTGACCATGCTCAAAAATTGCAAAACTGAAGTAGTTTCCTTTATTTACTTCTAACTCTCGATCTTTTTCGTTTTAATTCATGTGAAAGGCACTATTGTGAAGAGCATAATTTTCTCTATCATACAAAAATACTTCCAGAATTTTTCGAGACCCTGCTTGAAAAATGCCAACCCTGAGTACTTTCCTTCAATTGCTTTTAATTTTCGAACTTTCTCATGCCAATTCATGGCAAAGACACTGCTGTAAAGAGAAAGGTTTTCTCTTCTAAATGAGTATAATATCAAAGAGATTCATTGAGTTAGAAGGAAGTTACGATTTTTTGAAAAACTGGCGAACGAACTTTTGCACCCACCTAATATATTTTATGACATTTTAAAAGTATCAGAAAATTGCCAAAATGTCAAAAAGTCGCTATAATTTGTTTGTATCCTCAAAGAGTGACTGCTCTCTTCACACTCATTCAGCTTTCCTCATATTATGAAAAATGAAGAGCAATTTACCGAGATTTTTTATGCACTATCTTGAGCTCAGGCACATTTGGGATTTCCGGAAGTGTTAGAAGATTTGAGGCGGATATTTGTCGGATATCGTAGAATATAATTCTTTCTTGTAAACGTTTTTATATCTTATCTTCGTTGAGCCACTTGTGCATAAGAACTTTAGATATATATCTACGATGTACAAGTCTTCGAAATGGCACGCACAAAAACTGGAAAACCGAAGCGATTGCCTATAAATGGAAGGTAAGAGTTGATGATACCCTAGCGCTCTGCTATCTGTAACCACCTTTTAGAGACAAACTGCGTATCTTGTTTTGGAATTGTCTGCGAAACTATTCCAATATTTTTGGACCATACACTCGGACGGTCTTCGATGACTTCTCCAAGTAAGAGTGAAAGATAGGAACAGCGTATCTTAATCTCCTTGCAGAGCTTTCTCTATGAATCGTTGGCATTTGAAAGATGACAAGGGCGATGTACGATTCCCCTACGGACCTGAAAATGGACCAACAAAGGTATTTTTTGTGGCTTGATTCCATCGAGAAGCACTGATTCCCTATTCCAATCCAATTTAGGAATATATCATGTCCATCAAGCCACAAACAGATCTTATCTTTGATTTGTCAAGCAAAGATGATCAACAGCGGAACACCTCTGCTTTGGTGACGAAAAATCTTTTTACCCAGCGGGCACGATATGCACCCGCACTGAGCGATACTCGAGGCTGGTCAGTGCTTTGCTATCCTTACAATTTTCTGGCAGGGAGAGGGGGGGGGGGGCAGCACAAGGGCTGAGACTTGAAGAGAAGCAAAGGACTGAAGCTAAGGATTAATTTCTTGCGTCACAATTTTGAGTTCCAGGGAGTCTTATCTTGTGCTACAATTTGTTTTCCATGGCTTTTAAACCTTAAATTGATTACCAGTCAATTAGCTGGAAGAAGTTGCCTATATTTGATTCAACTGGCTTGGCGGCTGAAAGGCGGGTTTTTTTGACCTAATTAAGACCGCTGGAGTCCGTGACGCAGTCTGCGTCTCCTTCGCGCGTGTGCTCTCTGGTCATTACTTAGCCTCAGTTAGGTCACGAAGCTCCGCCTTCCAGCCGTCAAGCCAGTTGAATCAAAGGGTACATCGTTATTGCTTGAAAAACATCCAGAAAATGTCCTTGTAAATTTCTGGATTCCAATCCAAAAAATATTGCCTCAATAGGAATTACAACTTATGTCACGACTTGGTTGGTGTAGTTGATACCGGTTGAAGTGAATTTTTCGAAAAGGAGTCATTGAGGTAACGGAAGTTTTGAGCTTGTATCGAAACAGAACTCTCTGTGAAGAAAAGTTTCTTGAAGGGGAACCCCTCCCCGTCCCTGGTTGCATACATGGTCTCTTTCACTTTTTTGTCATGAAGTTTGGTTGTAACAAATGGTATGAAATGGCTCATCCGCCCCTCTTTTTCTCCAAAACTAAAATCCCACAAAGCCATTCTCATAATTAGCAACTATTGAAGGTCATTTGTCGATCAATGGGAAGTGTGTTACGGATCTATCTATCGGATTCCTCATCTTGGAAGTGATCCGGAAATTAGTGTAAGAATTCTCCCTTTATGTCTCTGGACATCTCAAGATATTCAAGTGTTATCATTTAGGTAAAAGTTGGAGCCGGTGTGAGAGCATGGTTGGGTACCTACACTTCTGTAAAGACGCTTGAAGACTACACTCCTGCGTTAGCATTTGGGTGTTAGTTGGTATTTTTGATAAGGTTCCCCCCTTATTCTTAGATATAATTTTTTTGTTTTTGATCGCACAATTTATGATTTGAAAAAAAAAATGCCTTGGTAAGGATGCTTTTTCTAGACCAGAACCGTAATTTCGCTATGAGTCATTGGAAGAAGCTATAAAATTGTATATATCGCTTACAATCTTGTTTTATTCCTAAAAATTTAAAGATTTTTTTCAGTGGTGAATCGTCTATATTATGAACTAGAAATGGACATAATAACTTTCTACTGTGATGTTCTTGAGGAGGTGTGATTTTTTATATACAGCATGTTGAGAAAATCGATACATCATTATATTTTTTAGCTGGGCTTGTTCCACGGAAAAAATAAAAACCGAGCAGAGGTGCTGAAAGGAATGGGAATGAACGCATATCAGCGAAAACGCATGACAGACCGACTAAGCGGAGTACGATTGATGACGAAGAAATTTTTGTCATGGGACAAGTATGTGAGATTTACTTACCACACCATAGTTCAGGTCTACGTACTATAAAACTTTTCGAACTTGACCCCTGAGAGAAAGAAGAATTTTCTGGAATAAAGAGAGTGAAACCGGTTGGGATTTGTACTGGGTGTGGGCTAGAGCCTAATGGCGATTCCAAAAATTTTTCATGGAAGGGGAGGGGTGGGGAGGGGAGGCGTGTCTGTCATACGAAAAGGGGCGTGGCGTCAGCCTCGTCATCCTATTTTTCAAATCTTTTCAATCAAGCTTGTACCTAGAACTTACAAGGAAAAAATGGTTGATCGAAGTGGTCGTTAGATATTATGCATACCTCTTGGAGCATTAAACGCTTATTTTAAATCTCCTTTCTTATCTGCGGAGGTTTTTTCTGAGTGAGGGCTTACAAGCGTTTATCAAAGCAAAAAATTCGATGCTTACCAGGATAAAATTGCACAAACTATTTTTTCTAGACCTCAAAATGCAACAGCGATGATTGTCAAACACTTCTTGCGATGAATACCCTTTACTTAAACGAGATTGGCGTCTGGAAAGCGAACGTGCGCGCCCGCGACACAATTTGCGTCTCTCTAGCGAGAGTGCTCACCATTCTCTAACTCTCGAAGCCCCGCCTTCCAGCCGCCATTCCCATTCCAATCAAAGGATACTTTTGGTTTAAGTATAGTTTCAGCTACCGTTACCTCACTTAAATTAAAAAAAATCTTAACGACTGATTATATCTTATTTGCTCATCCGAATTTTTGCATTTACAACCCCCCCCCCCCATTTCCTTTCTCAGAAACACTTCGCAGGTAGGGAAGGCAGATTTGGAATCAGCGTTTCATGCCCTTCAAGATTTGCCGCTCAATTCAATAGGCAACTTGCATCCTTCTCTTGTCAGAAAAAGGAGGCAATCATTCCCATGGAAACTTTCCTTACATGGCTATCTTGAATCTGATCAAATACAGAATTTATCTGCATAATTATTTTATATAAACCCTAAGAAAATTTGTGACTGTTTTTTGGGGTGGCATTCATACTTATCTGCAGGTTTTGAACAAGCAAAAAGTACTTGCATTGTTTGTAGTTGGTGTGGATCACCCTGTCTATTTTTCCCCTATTTTTTGCACCATTAGGTGTAAATCATGTATACTAATTGTCTACCATCATACCTATCTCCAGATTATGAATTTCATTTCTCAACACTTCCTGAAATTTTTGTAGAAAATCAGATCAGATACCTTTTCTTAGTTTTTTTACGCTATTTCATGAATACAGCGAATATACCAAATTACACAGGCTCGTCAATTTAGCAATTTTATATCTTTGGCTTCCAGGCATCACGATTTTTGGCTGTCCGAACGACGAATGATATTTGTTGAAGTTGCTGATCATCCGCCTAGAGCGCTAAGATTTGGTGAAATGTCAATGGAAGAAATATACTATCGGCTAGGAGAACGTCTAATGTATGTTTCGTGTCTTTATTGTAAACGTTGTAAATTTGAAGATTTTTATAGGTATCCAAACCTGCCTCTCTGCAGGGTTAGCATTGGCAAGAAGATGTACGAGTTACCTATGGAAGTTAGTCGATAGCAATTTTGTTGCAAAAGATATCTACCAACCTAATACAGCTGTACTTTTTATAGGTGCTAATCCTTCATGAAAAACCACAACGATACACAAAGACGATGAATGCATTTATGAAGATGAAATTCATCGAAGTGAGAGACTCGACATGAAGTAAAACTTTTACTGCAAAGTTTTGATTTTGAGGGAGTCTGTCGCGAACCACTGGCGCACAAAAAGTTGACAGAACGAATGTTTGACTGGATGGAGTATGGCAATATGAACATGAATTTCCTTCGTGATTTTATGGCAAGTTTTTTTCTTGTGTTTGCAAATGCTCCAAAGTGATCGTGTAGTTTATTTTCCACAAGTTCTTTTTCCCCTTTTGTGAGGGCCTCAAAAGGGAGACAGTTATCCTTGAGGTTTAGATGATGGAACTAAAAGCTAGAAACTTTTTCCGTCAGATTACCTAAATGAGTTTTGCTGTTTCGCCTTTGCGTATCGATCTGGCTCGTACCTTCATCCTCCGCCCCTTCACCCCCTACCCCTCATTTCATATTTTTAAAATTAGTTCCATTATTGTATCGGGAATCTTGTATATCCAATACTTGAATTAGCGAGAAAGTCATGAAACAGCAGAACGGAAAGATAATTCGTCATTTTCATGAATTAGTTTTCTTTTCAGTTTAATGTGAGCCCATCAATGATCAGCTGTGATGGTATGGTACTGGATGTTCCAGCAATTGTTGACAAGGTTTGTGCTGGCAATGTGTTATCTCTTGGAAAGTTCTAGAATTTTTACAAAAATTACGAATGCCTTTTTCTTTGACGAAAAAATATTGAGAGAAGGCAGTAGTTTGTTGTTTGCGAGGAGTCTAGTTTCCAGAACAAATATAAAAAAAGATTAATTTAGCCACTCTTGTTTGCAAAAATGAACAATAAGAACGATAATATTCGAAATTGATGTGTTCTTTGCTATTTAGGAAGGAAACAGGATTCCCATAACGGACAAGAGAGCCATACGACAAAAGGAACTGAATGGTAAGATTTTTCAACGGGAGCGGCGCATTGTCGTAGTTTCGGTTACTTTTCTGACTTTTGCTTATCTAAAAGAAGTAAAGTCGCTGTGTCATGCTTTTTCCATCATTGACATGACCACAATTTTTAAAGTATGCGTAAGGAGAGGGTATAGCATAAAAATACCCAAAGAGGGATTGAAAGGAGGGAAAGGTAGCAGAATATCACAGACAGTTGATTGGTTACTGGCATGAAGTATGCTAACGCTCTTTTTACTTTTCTTCGTAACCCCTTAAAGGCAGTGTCCCGGCAGATTTTGCACCTCCACCTTTTTGCATGTTTTAGGCCTTTTCGCCACGTAGAATCCGAATTTGAGCTTTGAACGGGCTGAAAAGGTCGATTTTGGGGCGTTTTCCTAATTCCAGAAAAGCAGCTTGGACGAGATTTTTGATGGAAAGTTGGGGGAGGTCCTCAGAAGAAGATCCTGCCGCCTGTAATTCTTGCTTTGGATAACATGCAGCATGGGGAGAGCGCACGTGGGGTCCCGCGCCGAACAGGCGGGGAAGGCCGTCCAAGCGCGCGCCAGTTGGGGTTGCGCGCGCCGGTTCAAGGGCCATTTTCTCGGCTCAGGGGGAACATCACCCAGCCGGAGTGCGCCTGTAGGGCGATGGGGTGACCAGGAACCCCACCACACGTATATCCCCCAGGACCCGAATCTGCCGGGACACTGCCTTTAATAGCTCTCAAATATGGGACAGAAGCCAGAACACTTTGAGGTTTAGCTTTGCCATTTGCGAATATAGTTGCTCTTCAAGTATTTTTGCGTCGCGAATTTTCGACTCCAATTTCTTGTTTTGTATTAACCTTTTCATGATGCTCTTTCCAAACATAAAAAAGTTACCAATTTGCCTTTTCTGAGGTTATTTTTTCAAGTTGAACGAGGGCTTTCGGCGCCAGCGTTCAGCAAGTATGAAGAAGGCATCGTCCACCCAGATTCTCGACTTCCACGTTTTGATCGTTCCGGGCCCTTTCATGTCCCCGATTCTGAATATAAAGTCGAGAATCCGAAAACCCCGACATTCCTCGTTCCGGATTACCCGCAGGCCAACTTTCCGGAAAGGAATTGGATGGGCGGGCATTACTGGAGGGGGCGGTGCCGACTGGGGTCCTCATGCATCTTCGTTAAGCCTCGGGCATACCTCACGCGATTTCAGTCGCCACGTGATTTGGCAATACTCCAAATGCTCATAACTCATCCTACCGGGTTTCTGAATGTACGGAAGAGGGGGCATTTTATCAACCTACGAAAGTTATACATGCTGTGCATTTGAGGTCTTCCAGTATTGAATTTGAAGACATATGGCAAATTGCCAGATCGCATGGCGACTGAAATCGCGTGAGGTATGTCCCTTGCCTTACTCTGAAGCGATATTTTGCGCCGCGGCTTGGGGCTTGGCTTGATAGGGGCCCTACTATCATAAGCTGCAAGCTCAAGACTCCTAACTTGGGTGGACGATGCAAAGAGTATGCCCTATGGCTATGAGACTATGCTCGGCATGTGAAAATGTGGCAAGGGCTAAAAAATTTTATGTGAGGGGTGAGCGGCACACCGGAATGTGCGGTCTGCACACTGCTCCAGTGAGCACGCTGCAGTAGTTCTAGTATGAAGTCCTACTATTCGATCATGACAGCAGTCAAGGAAGTTTAAAACTGTCCGGACGCTGCCTCTGAAAGTAACGTCCAAAAATGAGGATATTGAGATTTGCATGGGGATATAAAAGCCGCACCCCTCACTGAGTAATCGCTCAAGTCCGACTGCAGAAGGCGAGCCCAGACGAGATAAAATTGGTCCAGAAGATGGAAGTGCGATGGTTGTTCTACCCATCAATGTGGGTGGTGCGATTAAGTTCAGAAATGGGCTTGGATGAGTCCAAAAATGTCGAAAATCAGCACTTCACTACCAGTCAAATTTTTTGAAAGTTTTGTACTCTAAGCCCAATCTTGGACTTGTATCCTCAGAACACTCAAGTTGGTTTGTATCCTCAAAACACTCAAGTTGATTTGGCTGAGCGGCCACTTGCGCATCTGCGTTCTGGAGCTGATTTTTGGTCTCTTAATCTTATGAAATAAGACGGGTTTACTTATTGTTAATTGAGGGGCCAGCTATTGCACCGCATCCTTATTTTTCACCCCCACTTAGGGTGGACGGTGATGGCAATCAGAAGGCCTATAAATGGCGTGGAATTTACATCGCAGATGGCTTCATTTTCATTCTTTGTTCACAAAATTTTACCTTACCTGATTCCGTTTATTGTCCCACCATTCATTTCATTCCAATTCAGAGCCTCCATCTGGTGACATATACTGCGCTGTGGTGATAATGGCAAGAGAGAGGAGTGCTGACAAACAGAATGTCTGTCATATGGACGATGTTGGGTAAGTTGCCCATATTTCCTAAATAAAACTGATATAGTCTTTATTCAGCACATTCTTTCTTGAATTGATGGAGAAATGTCGTGAACGTGGACTGAACATCGCTGAACAGCCACTTATACGAGTGAGAGAGTCGTGAAGCCTATGAAAAGAGTGTCGGAAATTTTTTTCAGGTCTACGAAAGAACGGATGCGACTAATTTTGAACAATATGTGGATGATGCTCAAGAGCGATTTAAGAGGATGCAAAATGGGAGGCAAAGAATCCTTTTGCTGTTAGTTATAAACGACCGTAATGATTCGTATGGCAATCGTGGAGGAGCTTACGGTAATATAATGTTGTCACTACTGCTTTGTTCCGGTTTTTCTGCGCAAGGAACGCGGGGGTTACGGTATTTTATTTATAGGGCTCATAAAATCGGTATGTGACAATAAGTATGGTATTGCTAGCCAGGTTATAGATGCTTCTACTCTAAAGTCAGCAGTTCAAAACACTAAAAAGTAAGTAGCAATTCCAAGTTCATGCTTGTTTTGAAAATCTTGACTGAAATTTCCAAATTCATTTCAGGACTGTCTACTACAATATTGCACTCAAAATAAATGCCAAACTTGGAGGAGTGAATCAGGCAGTCCTGTTCAAGAATGAGTGGGTTTTCAACTGTAGATTCCGCGTTTACTTCACGAATAAGGGAATATTATAGAACTTCTGAAGCAGAAGCGAAAGATTCAGTGATGTATGTCGGAATAGACGTCACACATCCAACTGCTAACAGCGGCATTGACATCTCGATCGCTTCCATGGTGGCAAACTTTGACTTGGCTGCTACTAGGTAAATAACTTAGTTTAACTGCAGCGAAATGTAGTTTTTATTGGAAGTCATATATGGTCATCCATTTCATGCAATTCCAGGTACACCAACGAGATTTTTGCGCAAATGAAAGGAAAGGAAACCGTCGAATGTTTCGAGAGGCAGTTTTGTCGACTGATGACTAAATTTCATGAGGTATGTGTTTGTGTAAAAATCATCAGTTGCAAAAGGTTAAATGTAAAGTTGATCTACCCTTCGATTCAACTAGCTTGGCTCCTGGAAGGCGGGACTTCGTGACGTTAAGACTAGATCAGAGAGCACGCGCCCGAGAGAGGCGCAGACTTGTCGCGGGCGCGAGCGGCCTTAAAGGCAGTGTCCGGGCAAAATGGGGGTTCTGAGATTTCTCTGCCATGTGAAAGTAGCCCCCCTGAGACACAACATCGCGCAACTGCGAGCATAAAACGTTCGACCTAAAGCAAGAAAAACGATTGCAAATTGGGGAAACTTACGCCTTGAGTAGGGGTCCTCCGAGTTGTTTGAATTCCTGCCAGACGGCAGAGTACGTATGCCGCCACAGTTAAAAACCGTGCGCTCTTTGCAACCTCTGCGTCTTAGCCTGGCGGGGATCCCCAAATCGAAATGTGAGGACTTGGAAAATGCATGTTCTCGCCGTTTTCGTGCCTTCTGATGTGGATTTTCGGATTCAGCGTTGCGGATAACCCCAGGTAAGTTGATTTTTTAGAAGTCGAGTTTCTGCCCGGACACTGCCTTTAAAAAGGGTCACGAAGCCCCGCCTTCCAAGAGAAAAGCCAGTTGAATCAAAGGTTACGTACCTTACCTGCGACATTACATACAGCTTGAAGCTTATGTTCAGTCAACTGGACTTCTTATGATCGTAGGCACGGGCTCCAAGAATTATTTGATCCTCAAACTCCAGCCTAGACCGTAATCTTTCCAACCATTATGATTTTGGGCAAGAGCTAAGCTAGGACCTTCCAGTTAGAGTTACTCCATAAGCGCGGTATTCAGACTTGCTTGACTGCGTTCAATACAAGTATTTCGTCGAAATATGAATTCAGTAAAATATCATTGAAGAGTTTCAGATGATCTAAAAGTTCAAATCATACGGAAATTCGCTCCGAACAACAAGGAGTACTTTGTCACAAACGATCAAATTATAGTATGATATATATGATTAGTTGAATCGTTGTATTTTAGCACTCAAAGGTATGGCCTCGTCATATAGTTATCTTGCGGGATGGTGTTAGCGACTCTGAAATGCTACGCACTGCATTCATCGAGCTGAAATGGATCAGGTAAGCAAAATTAGCATCTTACAATTCTCCGTATGAGTGTAATCATGTATCGTTGAACAATGTGAATCTTTTATGAATTTAGAAAATTTAAAAATTGGTAACCCAACGAAATGCTTATTTTGATTTCATGCTGAAGTGGTATAGGTATGGTGTTTCAGAGACTCATGGAAGAAAATGACGACGATAAGTAACGATGATTTGGCTCTTGACGTGACCTATACTTACATAGTGATTCAAAAACGGCATGTGACACGATTCTATCAACCTTCGAAGGACGAGAGGGGACAAGACAGGTGAGATTGGCAAAACTTTGTCGTAGAATGTTAGAATTCTGCTTGGAGATTGACAATTCCAGATACGTGAATGTGCCATCGGGAACAGTTGTCGATAATGTTGTTGTTTCACCGCAACTGTTTGACTTTTACCTAGCATCACAGATCGGAGCCATTGTGGGTTTTGCCTTAAGAATTTTTCTGAAAGGCAATGCAGGTGTCTTGTCAAATCTGGATACCTAGTTGTGGATAATTCGGGGAGAATGAGCTATTAAGGGGCAACTCATAAGGTTAACGCGTTGGTGAAAAATCCAATTCTGAATTCCAGCCCAGACCATAAATTTTTGTGCGGACCAATCAGCGTCCTTGAGTACGGTCTGGACTGGAGTTGAGATTGGATTTCTCGGCCACGAAAGAATATTATGTGGTGCCGCTTAGTGGTTTCGTAGAGTCCAGTCATTTTATCCAAGAAGCCTAGGCACCTAGATTCGCTTAAACACTGCCTTTGTCTCATTTCTCTAACCAGGGCTCGGCACGAGGTGGCTAGATGAAAATGGAAAAAACGAAGTCCCCCTTGACTTTTGGGAATTTTTACGAAGTCCCCTTTGACCCTGAACCAAATTTCTTCTAAAAACCTGAAAAATTCCCGAAAATCCCCCAAAAAACGAAACGTCGACTAAAAAAAAGGTCGCCGTCGTCAATTTTCCGTATATCTTCGCTCACAAAAACGAAACCCCCTTTGCTTTTCGTCCCAAAAACGATATCCAGCTTGCTTGTAAGCCACCTGTGCCGAGCCCTGTCTCTAACTCCTTCCCAGGGTACAACTCGTCCAGCTCACTACACCGTTGTGCTTGATGAGTGGGGTATGAGCTCGGATCAGATCTACGTGAGTCCACGCGTCTGAATTGGGTTGGATTAATTGACCCAGCGAGTTTCAGGAGATGTGTTATCGGTTGTGTTTCCTTTATGCAAGATGTAGGATACCCGTATCGTTGCCATGCCCTGTTTATTATGCTCATCTCGTTTGTGAGAAAGCGAAAGAAGTCTATAAAACACTATGCAAGTGAGTTATTGTCAATCTTAGCACATTTAATACAAATGATTGAAATTCCATTACTTCTGTATGCTATGTAGAAGGGAAGAAAATTGAAACGAATTGATAAGTTTTGAATTGTTTCTGTCCCAAAAGCGTTTGTGACAATAGGAGATCCCGAAGAGAAATTGAATATTTTCAGTATATCATGGAAAAGTATAAAAATTTCTTTTGCAGCTGATGAATGTGCGCATACCTTGACAGTTGAATCAGTTAAGATTCCTCCTTTCTCTCTCATCCGTCTTTTGCCATTTTTTGGAAATCTATCATATCTATTTGCTAGAGTTTTGAAGTATAGATCGATAACGATCAAGAATATATTAGACACAGGACTACTCGAAGCAGTGTTCAGGCAAATCTGGGCTTTGACTCTGTGAATATAGTAGGTGGGAAGCCCATACTAAACTGATGCTTAAGCGATGCCTCAGATAAATTATCAGAGAGAGAATTCCAAACTCTCGCTCAATTGACTTTTCGAGAGCTCTGATTGGTCCGCTCGAGAAGAGTACGGTGTCGGGCGAGAGTCCAGACAGTAGTTTTGTGGCTGCGAATGAATCATACGATTTGCTGCTCGGGCAGTGCCTAGTTGGGACCCCCCTAATCGTTTTCTCGTAAAAAAATCCAGATGCCCAGTTCTGCCTGGAAACACTTAAGATTTACTTTAGAAGCAGTCCGTTTCTTTTGATTAACTGCAATATTGCAGTGAGCGCAGATTCGACCAATTCGCAGAGGATGCAGAAGGAGATGCCCTGAAAAAGAATGCTATAGAGAGTTATTTGGCTGTACATAAGGATTACCCGGGAATGCATTTTGTCTAGTTTGCAGTAGAGTGGATATCTTGGGCTGTATCTATAAGTGTTGCTTACATATAATAATCCGAAAAGTAGTATAGTCGACTAACAAAGTGCAAATGTTGCTCTATTTGAGAAATTACTATCTCTTGACTGTTTGTGATGAGCTGATCTTGTGCTAAGTCTTTTATGTATTATACCTCAAAATTTTCCTGTCCCATATTGTTATGTTGTCAATCCCACGTCTTTCTACCTCAACTTTTTTTTCGCAAAATTGTTAGTTATAGGTTTTTTTTTTCAAGTTTGACAAATACACCAATGATTGTTAACCAGACAAATACACCAATGATTGTTAACCATTTAGAAGTTTGTTTTTTATGTTACGCTTGTATCCTTAGAGTCTTCTAACCTCCTTACTTCGTGCCCTCCCCATACAATCAGTATGTACTATGATTTACCTCTCATCTAGTCTTTGTATTTTTATTTTTGTATAATCGGTTGAAGCTATAGTTTTATTGTTTTTCATTCACTTGCGACCTTTTTTTGTTGACCCTACCTATGTGATGCTACTCGATTGGACTTTTTATCTTGGGTGGTACTAGATGAGGTGTGTTTTCTTGGTAAAAATTTTATCTCCGACTGTTTTACGAAGTCTTCACTGTTAGCTGTATCAGCTAGTACTGAAAACGGCTTTTATACGTAACTAGATCATTCTATAACAGAAGAAGTGGATCAAAGTTCAAGTCTTTCTTGGCATGCTTCAGACCCCTTTCCTTCTCCGCCAGTTTCTTGACCTTAGCTTTCTACAAATCAAAAAGCGTTCGAGTAACACTTATATCACTGTGAAACAAGTTTTTTTTCATTGATAAATGAAAAAAAATTTGTTTCACAGTGATATAAGTGTTACTTGTGCTTTTTTCAAAGTAATGTACTCTAGTCGAAGACATCTTCTTTGTAGGCCATCTATCGCCTTACTATTCTCGAAAAATCTGAGCAATTCCCAGAGAATTCCAGCATTTTCGCTGGAATTACTCTACATTACTAAAGAAAATTAGGCCGTTTTTCTACTTGTATGCATTTTTTAGACCATTTCGTAATCCACTCACATCTTGTTTACTGGTCATAAGATGCTTCATCTATTGGCCCACCTAATGAACTTATGTGTACATTCACTTTTGGGTAAAAAGGAAGTATTATATTTGCTCAAAATTACTTGATGCTTTTGAAACTGTTATTTTTTTACCTTTCTTGAAAAGAACTTGTCAAGTGGGCCTAGAACAATTTTTTGAGTGGAACTACTTTCTTTCTTTCTTTAGGGACATTTGTACTTAGTGTTTATTGTTTATAACAGATACATTGTACTGATGGCTAAAAGACGTTCTGTCCTTTTCGCAAAAGAGTCTTTGAGAAATTCATTGAATCTCCTTCTTAGACAATTGTAAATTTCATAGTTTTTTTGTTATTCATCTGACAAAAATTTGGTATTTCCTCGATATTGTGGAAGAAACCATAGTCAGTCTACCGCATTTTCAGATTGCGTTGCACTAATTTTGAAAGTGATTGAAATGGTACGCAGCTGCACATTATGAGGGAATCCAAGAGAGTGATGAAAAAATCTGCGTAGATTGAAATAAAAACCTTAACAATGTGGCACAATTATGAAAAGAGAGCTCCCGTCCAAGATAAAATGAATCAGTTAACGTGCTCTATTTACATGTCTAGTGCAAGTGTTCTATGAGTCATCTGCGACGCGGTCAAGATTGAGATTGAGAAATAATTGCATCAGGAAATTTTAACGCCTGCTTTTCCATAGCTTGCAGCTGTGCTATCACGAATTTGCCAGAATTCTCTCCACAATTTTTTTAATGAACATTAGAACTTAGGAAACTGGTGTGGATTTACGGCTACCATCTTGCACACTCCTTCCAAACCTGCATTCAGTTTTCTTGTCGTTAAAGATAAAAGTTTCAATTTTCTCAAATCATCCGTAAATTGAATTTATGCTTCTAAATCAGTTTTTGAGTTAATCAACAAAACAAAATTTTCTTATCTGATATATTTGTTCTCTTCCTCACCGACTTTTGTGTAATAATTCGTGAGATACTGCAGTGTACTTGCAAATCATTGAAAACATCTCGAAAATTTTGCGTCAATTCGTTGCACCCGAAATTCTTTGTTATCTTTCATTCTGCTTGGATTATTGCTGTTAATGGATGAAGAAAAGAAAAAAAGGACGCAGATTTTATTCGCTGCACGAAAGCTTAGTGCAGTGAATAAAATTTGAAAATGAATTGCTTGCTACCGCCTTTCTGTATGCGATTTCAAAAAACTTCCTTGAGAATACGTTATTTGAACTTGCACATAATAGGGGTGGGGGGTTCATTGGAGCTTGTATTCATTCATTCATTTGCAATCCCCATTTTAGAAATAAAGTAAATATTGCCAGCGGCGGAGCGAGCCCCCGCTTTGTCAAACTTAGGACTCACTTGTGGTTCGTATTGTCTAAAATGGTAGTCTTTTTGGAACAGATTCAATACATTTTTCCGAGAATTCCCCTACAAGGGTTATCGAAGGAAGGTGCTGATTACCAAAATATGATTTGTTTCAGTTTTTGGCAGTATACGGTAAGGTCAAGTAGTCATTCTGTACGAACCCAACATCAGGGATCCTCATGAAAAATTCTGTTTTGGGGTTATTTCACGGCTGATCACGATCGTAGTGTCCACTTTGTTCACTACTTTCCCACGGTGGGACTACGGTAGCGGTACGGTGAAATTTTCGTAAGAATAAGAAACCGATGTAAGAAGACTGTATCAGAATTGGAGACTATCATTTTCGTAATCAGCATGCTAAAAAACATATATGTAATGTCTGAGCTTTGCGGGATGAACAGTGCGAAAAATCAATAAAATCGATAATTTTTGACGGGCTGACATCAGTCTCATGCTCTCTCTGTATCTCTCGTGCATGTAAAATTGAATTTTAAATACAGCGCCATTCTGCAAAAAAATCTGAGCTAAAGTTTCTCCCTTACCTTTATCTGTGGTACTAGCTGGCTTACTCGGCTCCGCCCGGCCCTGTCAAAAACGGTAAAGGTTTCATTTCTACCCTTGTACACCTTTACCTGCGCCCACTTTTACATGAAATTCCCTATTTCCGCTGTGTTAGTAATCAGTATGCCCGCCTACCTTCCTCACCAACCACCCAGCCCCGTAGCTCAATGCAAAAAAAAATAATATCGATAAAAGTAAGGATAATTCTAAAAACTGACGGCGTTATTCGGCTATCCTGGCCCTACAATGTTTTTTTGTAGGTCTTGCTCAAACTCGGTACATGGGGGCTATTCGAGCCGCTGATGACGAATTAAGTAGTCATTTCGCGTGGCAGCGTGTAAAAAGCATGAACCTGCCTGAAACCTTGGCAGAGAATCACCTAAAGTGCTGTTTCAAGAATATCGTGCTCAATCCCCACAAAAATGGCAATTCGTGTCAGAGGGAGGGAGATTTGCCGCGTGTGTTACACATTGGGACAGGTTATCAGAATGGCGCTGGAGGCCGCCATGCAAAACGACCGTTTCCCCATTTCGTAAATATCTGGGATCTAAATTGGTCCGAAAGCGAAAAAATGTTCTTTCAAGCCTTGCAACTCACCATAACTTCACTAATGCGTTATGACAGCGAGCAAGCATCATATTCACAAGCAGTATGCTTGTAAACCGTTACAGGTAAGGTTTTGAGCAAATCTGGAACTTCGACCCATCTACACCCACCGTAACCCAAGAAAATGCGCCCTGCGAAATCAGCATGATATTCATGTTTAGCGCGCTAAGTGACCATCCTTGACGAAGTTTTAGGCTTACCTACGTTTTCGATCCCATACCATATACCCCCATAACTCTTGGAAAGGTCCCAGTATGCAGAGAGAGTATGAAATTCGTAATCAGCGTGTCGAATAAGTTCTCTGGACCGAACTCCAGCCGAATTCATGGTTTTGACTTCCTACCGTACACCCATCGTAACCACACGTGGAGACGTTCTGCGGAAAAAGTGTGATATCTGTGATCAGCATGTAAGATAACCCTCATAAACGAAGTTTGAGCAAGCTCTACGACAAAAAAAATTTTTGGGGCCCTGATAGCCGAATAGCTCCAAACTAATATTGTACTCGTAATCAGCATGCTCGATTACCTCCCTGTGCAAACTCCCAGCCCCGCAGGTCAAACTTTGCAAAAAACGATAAAATCGATAAAATCGATATCGATCGATAACGAAAAGTAGCCTATGACACCCGCCGGGGCTCGAAGTGTATGTGTGCCAAGTTTGGTCCGGATCGGTTCAGTAATGGAATTTTCTATTCGGAACATACGTACGTACAGACAGACAGACAGACAGACAGACAGACGGACAGACAGACAGACAGACAGACAGACAGACAGACAAACATACAGACAGACAGACATATATACATACAGACAGATAAACATTTAGCTTTATATATAAGAACCCTACCGTAACATTACTTTACAGTATCCCGAACCGGACCACTCTGGCTGGAGCTTCGCCAAGATGTCCCCAATCATGTGCCAGAACCCTGTAGAATTCCATCGTATACTGGTAAAACTAGAGCTTCAGGAATTTTACGACCCACCGGTGGGTTGTATCGTCGTGAATGTGTTGATTTGAAATCTACTTACAAGGGTTTACAAGGGTAAAAGTATGCAAGTGACTTGTTTTTTCTGTAGATAATTAAAATATTTTCTAAAATTTTTTAAAAATTCAAATTAGCCTTGTAAAATTTTTCGGGGGGGGGGGGGGCGCTAGCCACATTACCTTTTTCTATATTTCAGTGGTTAGGAGCCCGCAGAAATCTCGGGAAGCACCTCAAAATTTCTTCGGAGTGCGTGGCTACTCCACGCACCTTCATTTGAAAAATCTTTTTGCCCCCCCCCTACCCGGACGGAAATTTTGAACCGCCACTGATTGCTGCACGTTGGGTTTGACCAGGGGACAGTTGATGAATGCGTTATCACTGCTGCATCGTTTACCGCATACTGGAGTCTCCCGTCGGGCTTGATGACAGCGCTTTGTTGTCTGATGTGATTGTGGCGAGCTAGGCAGAATGACTACTCGTGATCACTGATGGTCCTTGTATCGCATAGTAATATTACAGCTATTCTATTTCAGCTCAGGCGTGACTGCTCTTTGAAAATGTAAGCAAATCATTTTAACCTTTCAGTTAGCGGAGGAAGAAAACGAACCAGAATTCTTTCATGACGACGGGTGAACAGTGAGGAGCCCAGCGCTGAATCTCTTGGTGTTATGCCGTCGATAATTATAGCGTAGCATAGAGGTGTGGCAAATCACTTCATCATTATGCACGAAGAATTCTGCGCGTGCTCGAGTTCGTTGTAGCTTGAAAAATATGGTCTCCTGTATTATTTTCAGCCAGAGAGTTGCAATGATTCTTATTGATTGGCCCGTGTAGGGTATTCAAACCAGAGTTCTTTCAGTGACGGCTGGTGAACGGTGAGGAGCCCTGCGCTGAATCTCTTGGTGTTATGCCGTCGATAATTGTAGCATATAGTTGTGACATTTGGTGTATGGCAAGGTCGCTTTGTTAATCTGCAACAGGGAGTCGGCGCATGTGCGAGTTTGTTGGAGCTCAAAAAATATGGTCTCCTGTACTTTTTAGCCCAAAATTGCAATGATTTTTGTTGATTGGCCCTACTGGCTCCGAAAAAAAAAGAAGGATACATAGTGTTAGTTGTTACGAATTCAGCTTGCCTGATGTCATCCGGTGCCGAGCTTTGCTCATCTTCCATTATGCAAGTAATGCTTCGTCGCAGGCTGCTACTGATGTACATTTAGGAAAAATGCGCGCGAAAAGAGTAGCCAGGATCGAGCAAGAGGTGCGGAACACAACCGTCGGAGATGACCCCCCCCTACCGTGGGTATGACATAAATGGTCTACCAAGCATAATTAGTAATACATTCGTAATTATCGTGTTAAATAACCCTTTGAGCCAAGTTTTAGCGAATCCTGAGGGTTCCAGATATTGGGTCACCCACTTAAGTAAGCGGTCATTTTAACAGGGTGTATCCCATGACTTGTGAGTGCCAATTATCGCTTCGCCGCGCGCGGAAAGGCGGCCTCAATGAGCGCGCGGAAACTCGTACAGTGAGGTACGCGACGCTTGGGTTTAAGTACGTAGCTTAGCATTGGAGCAGGAAATGGACGTGTCTTCCACGCTGGAGCTGGCATGATTGCCGCCGATGCAGCCTCTTGATCCGCCGCAGCGCGGCAGCGCGGCAATCCACTCACAAGTAATGGGCGTCCCCCATTTTAACGGAATTAACTCCTACTTTTTGTACTCAATACGAAACCCTACTCCCTATTTTCCATATCGAAAATCCTGCTCCAAATAACCACCAAAATATGGAATCAGGAGCCAGCCGAAATTTCAATTGTCCCATTTCTTGCTTACAATGATTGTGCTTCCAGCAGCTATTGCGCAAATAAAAGAAGAGGAATCTCTAATTATTTCTAAAAAAAAACTAGTCAAAGGCGAAGACAAACAGAGCCCAAGCAGTCATTGAACAACTTTGTCTTCCCTTAGTACATACGCTGGCAAACCGGGCTTCGTCCGACCTTGTCAATAATATAATCGTAACCAACATGTTCGCTTACCCCCCCCCCCCCCCCCCCCTCCCGTGCCAACTACCAGCCCTAAGCTAAGACTTTAGAAAAAATTTATAAAATCATGCCGATCAATAACGAAAAGTAGCCCACGATATCCACCCCGAAGTGTATGTGGCAAAGTTTTGTCCGGATCGGTACAGAAGTGAAAATTTCTATTCGGATACGTATAAACAGACATACATACACACAGACACACAGACAAACAAATAGACATTCAGCTTTTTATGTAAGTTCCCGCCTCAGTGAACACAATTAATTGCAAACAAGAAAGATTTGCAGAGATTGCAGCTTTTCCACAGGATTTTGTTTACTATCACAGAACGACTAGGTTGAAAATAGGATTTCGCGCAAGGATTTGACGCCAGTCTGATTGAAAACGGAAACTTCCGCAGTACTTCCCACAGGGCTGCGGGACGTTTCGTGATCCTGCGGAAGTTCCGTTCTATTGTCTGAGACAGTGCTGCCGAAAATACTGGCTCCATAATAAGTACGATTAATGTGAATAGCCGTAAGAAAAACACGTATAGGTTTTTTTGCAATTCGACACGGTCATACTGACTGGAAAGCTAGTTCCTCGCATCCTACTATGCGATTTGACAGATATTGTAAATATCATAAAACACGCCCTTTATGTAATATAATATTATCGACGCTCACTACATATTAAAAAAGGCTTATGTGTAGTAATTAAGGGCAGCGGCAAAATGATGGGTACCGGAATCTTGGAGCGTTGCAGTGGCAGGCCCCAACTGTGCTATCGGTGAAGTCTGAAGCGAAAATTGGAAGTCTTGCAAACCACTCCCCTTCGTTTTGGACCCCGCCCACTAATTTTTCAGCAAATGGAGACATGGACTTTTAAAAAACTTTTTCATGCGCAGTAAAGCCCACATATGGGTTCAGCATGGCTAGAAGGCTCAAAAATTGAAAAACCGAAGATTTGCCGGCACTTTGCCTTCAGACATTTACATGTTTAGAAGAGATAGATGAGCTTCTAGAGCTGGAGCTCCGTTCCTTCCTCAAGATGATATGTCGATTTACTCCGGCCTAGAACTCATACAGAGCATTTCTTTATCTGAATTTTTCAAGCTCTTGTAGCGACAACATATTGCAATTCTTTGATTACTAGAATCCTTCTTCCATTCCCACATCCTTTTTCCCTCCTTTCAAAATGGTTTCCGGAGTGTTTTGGAAACTCTGAGGCTATTTGTTCTAGCTGCGGCACAATGACAGAAAATAGTAATTTTTTTCAGAAAACCACGACGAAATGCAGGCGTCGACATCACAACAGCCGTTCATAGGTCCGAACTATGCAAAGGTAAATCACTTCTGATAAATGATAAGAACAGGTTGGCGAAAAGGTTATTGAAGGTAAGCTATTATGTAGGAGACTGCCCTTGAACAATCGAATGTTCCCATACACTAACGGAAACAAAAGCAGCCTGTGATGAATGTTTCCTGCATCGGGTTTTTTGTGAATGTGTCACTGAAGTTGATTTTTTTTTTTATAAAAACTTGCCCATTTTCCCTTCTCAGATTTTCCTCAGATTCTGGATAAGTGCGAGAAAGTTTACCTAATTTAATAAGTAAACGGAATTTGTATCGAAGACGAATGAATATTCTACGAAAAACATTTATTTCCGACGTTTCAGCATGGTGGCGAGATCTGCTCGGTTTACAGCCGACCCGATCATGGATCATCAGGAAAGCTCATACCACTCGTCGTCAACTGGTATCGACTGAAGTGTGGTCTAGAAGGGAAAAAGGTAAGCGGTTTTTGCTGCTTTTAAAGGAAAAACGTCAGTTTTTCTTTCTTTGAAATGATAGAAGTGACAAGTACGTAGATCCGCAAAGCGTAAGACTTGAAATTTATTTTAAAAAACATTCAAGATGATGTGCCATCAAAACTATCCTCTATGGCATTCGAAAATACAGGAAGTTACCGCCTAAAATATAATAACAGAGTCGCTACAATTGTTTCTTACCTCAAGAAAGTGACCGCTCTCTTTACACTATACTTGGGGAAATTCGAACGTTTTTTCGAATATTCGAATATTGACTAACATGCGAAAATCGAAAATTTCGAATATTCGTCGAACTGGAGAGAGTTTCGAGACATTGAGGGCCATATTTTGCCTAAGAAAAAAAACCAAAACTAAAAACTCTCACATCAGGCTTTTGGTCACTGACATTAGATATTAAATTTACACCCAGGTGCAATGCTTTTCCACAACTTACACCAGATACTCCGTAAGAAATGTTATGGTTCTCAAAAGCAATATTACATACACCTTGAAAGAGTTTGAAAAACTCAAAATTGTGTAGTAAAATCAACATACGTAAGGAATGTGCTACATAAATTTATTTTTTTAGAAAAGTTAAATGCCATATTTCGTAGTGGCTCTCTATGCAAAAAGTTCCTGCTGTAATCTCACAATAATCGGAAGTTATGGATGATTCGCTTCTTGTTGCAAATGTGGGCCGAAGCCAGTCCTAGAGAATAGTACCCAAAGGTTGCCAAAAGTGTTCGTAAGAGAAATGTTAGCGATCAAACATGTGTAGACGCTTTTGGACCACCCTGTAATGCTATGGATATCGAATTTGCGATCGTTCGATGGTCGTGGAACTTTCAAATGGATTCTCATCGAATTTTTGTATATTCGGTGCTCGTTGTGCGAATATTCGAATATTTGAGAACATTGAATGATCGAATTGACGACCACCAAATATTCGACTATCGAATTATATTCGGTTGAGGTTTTCGAAAATTCGTTTTCCAAACAATATTCGAAAATGAAGAATTTCGAATATTTGACTATCGAAAATTATTCGAAGTCTCATATTCTCGAATATTCGAATTTTCGAATCATTCGCATTCGAATGATCTATTCGAATAACCGAATAATCATTCGACTCGGTCCAAAGTACACCTCCCATTCTACTAGGTCGTCTAGAAAGTTCCTTCGCACCATACTGAGATTCCATTACTTCTGAATTTCCCAACCGACTTGTCTGCTTGTATTGTTCGAAAGAGCAAATCATGCTTTTTATAACGGTGTCATAGCGGCCATCTACTAAGCATACATTAGATAGGAGCGGTAGAAGAATATTACTCAAATTTAGAATTTTTTATGTAGGGTCATAAAAGGTCTCAAAGTTGCAATAAAAATTGAACCAGTTGGTATTATAGGTTTTGTTGATTGCTTGATTGCTCATTCGAGATCAGTAAAGTTTTTGCTGATTTAAACGCTTCTAACGAAAGTTACTACTTGAGCTAGCAATAAAAAACAGCAGACTTGATTCTTTTCGGCATTTTTTTTCGAAAATCATTATTTGATAGGCGTTCGATCAGCACAGCTCAGTTAGGAAAAGCAGGTAAAAAACTCATATTAGCGAGCGAACGTTTGGGACAATCTAATACTTTCTTTACAAGGGAATGGTCAGAAATCGAAGTGGCCATTCCAGACAAGCTGCGCAGCGTTAGATGCAGCATGAAGCGCTGACTCAAAATTGTCTTCTTTATCTGCTTATCGCTTTTCTGGACGAAGTTATTAACCATTAAAGACCATTATTTTGCTTAGAAATTATGCGTGAAATTGAAAATTTAGCCGTACAGAGCCTCGTTCGCCTCAATGCTGGACCGAAACATGCAGCTAGCTTACTTAAAATTTTTGAAGCCGGAAGCCGAGCTAAAAGTGCAACAATGTGCTCATTTTCGCTGTTTTTATGTATGATTTTTTCAAAATAAAACCGCTTGTAGCTTCGTCCACAGAAGCGTGAAGTAGTTAAGGAAGACAGATTCGAAGTCAGCGTTTCATACTGCATCGAATGATATACAGCTTGTTTGGTTTGGCCACTTCGACTTCTGACCATTCCCTTGTTAGTTTACTTGAGACTTTCCTTGTACTATCTTGGACTCATGCACATTTGAGATTTTCAGAGGTATTAGAAGATTTGAGGCTGAAATTTGTCGGCTATTGAAGAATATCATTTCATGTAGATATTTTAGTATCTTATCTCCAGCACTTGCGCATAAAAACTTTAGATATACATTTACGATGTGCAAGTCTTCGAAATGTCACGTACAAAGAAAGGGTATCCAAAACGAATACCTATAAAGGGAAGGTAAAAGTTGATGATATCCTATCTTCCTTTCTAGTTGTATCCACCTTTTTAGAGATGAGCTGCGTATTCTGTTTTGGAATTGTCTGCGAAACTATTCCAATATTTTTGGACCATACACTCGGACGGTCTTCGATGACTTCTCCAAGTAAGAGTGTAAAGATAGGAACAGCGTATCTTAATTTCCGTGCAGAGCTTTCTCTATGAATCATTGGCATTTGAAAGATGACAAGGGCAATGTACAATTCTTTAACGGACCCAAAAATGGACCAAAAAAGGTATCTGTTGTGGCTTGATTTTGCCCGGGAGCGCTGTTTTTCTATTCTGATCCAATTTAGAATTATATCATGTCCATCAAGCTACAAACAGATCTTATCTTTAATCTGTCAAGCAAAGACGACCAACAACGAGATACCTCCGCTTTGGTGACGAAAACTCTTTTTACACAGCGGGCACGATATGCACCCGCACCGAGCGATAGACGAGGCTGGTTAGTGCATTTCTATAATTTGCGAACTTTCAGATGTCAAGGTTTGTTGGACAAAAGAAGACCTTTTTTTGTAGGGAAAGGGTAGGCTGAGACTGGACAGAATTTTTCAGAATTATGAGTTTCGAAAATTAAGGATTTTTGAATCCAGATCTGATACGAATCGTTACTTGAAAGAAGCTGCCTAGAAAGCACAGCTTTATTGCACGGAAAACTGTTGTGTCCTCCACTATGGACACTCTTCAATGCTTCGTTATCTTCGGAAGGAGAGAGAAGAAGGAATAGGAATATTTATTAGAAATAAAATAAGTAGACAAAATCCAGAGGTGGATGGGTAAACAATGACTGAACAATGGAACTGTGGAACTGACTAAGGCTATGAATGAGCGCCTTTTATAGCGCTCATTTCCCGCGCACCCTGAGGTTGCGATCGACTGCGCTAGGCAGGTCACTATGAGGAACAACTGATCAGCACTAACACAACAAAAACAAATCAAAAATGTTGCAAACGTTTAAAGTGACTTGATCTTGGTTTTACTTATAATGGATCCCCAGTTATGAAATTTTTTTCTTCCATCTCTTCAAGCACTTTCATGTTATCTGTAGTTTCATACAGATATTGAATTCCATCTCTGCCTCCTCACTCTTCTCCCCCCCCTTGTTATAGGTTTTCACCTTCTCGTTATAAGTGGACAGTGGGATAGAAATATCTTCAGATTGTGAATGCGCAACGAATCTTAAGGTTTTTTTTACAATGTCTGTATAACTACTGTAGTCGTCATAGAAGTAGTCATTTGAAACTGGTCTTTTTGGAACCAAATCTCAAAAAAAATGTTCATTAAAGGTCTTTTGTCAATCAGTGGGAAGTTTGCTATGGCTCCATATATCGAATCCCTCGTCTTGGAAGTGATCCAGAAATTAGTGTAAGAATTTTGCACTTCATTATCTTACATCCCATTTTGCACTTCACTATCTTACATCCTCTACCTCTACCAAATCATTTAGGTAAAAGTTGGACCGGGAGTGAGAGCATGGTTGGGCATATACACTTCCGTAAAGAAGCTTCAGAATAACACCCCTGCGCTGGCTTTCGGGTGTTAGTTGATATTTTTGATGCTAATTTGACTTTTCAATGTTCTGTGAAGAAAAAAACTTTGTTTGGTTTATTCGTTACACGCTTCAAGGCTATCATGTCTTGTTAGCTTGCCTTCCTGCGTCATTGGAAGAAGCTGTAAAATTGCATAGATCGCCTGCTATCTTGTTTCATCCCCCAAATCTAATAATTTCTTTATTTTCAGTGGTAAATCGTCTCTATTATGAATTAGAGATGGACTTGATAACTTTCTATTGCGATGTTGTCGAAGAGGTGTGATTCATTATCGGCACTTTGAGCAATTTGAAACATCATTATATTTTCAGCTGGGCTTGTTCCACGGAAAAAATAAAAACCGAGCAGAGGTGCTAAAAAGAATGGGAATGAACAAGGAACAAAGAAAACATATGACAGACCGATTGAAGGGTGTGCGACTGATGACGAAGAAGTTTTTGTCATGGAACAAGTATGTGTTATTCATCTATAACAGTTCTATAGTTCAGGTCTAAGTAATGTAGAACTTCCTGGTTTTGATTTCGCTAGGAAGGAAGGAACAGCTATCTTGGGCAACGTCCGACGGATATCTTAACGAACACTGGGCTATGGCCTAGGGCGGTTTAAAATTTATGCTTGGGTAGGGGAGAGGGCAGGGCTCGGCACGAGGTGGCTAGATGAAAATGGAAAAAACGAAGTCCCCTTTGACCCTCAACCAAATTTCCTCTCAAAACCTGAAAAATTCCCCAAAATCCCCCAAAAAACGAAACGTCGACTAAAAAAAGGTCGTCGTCGCCAATTTTCCGCGTCTCTTCGGTCACAAAAACGAAACCCCCTTTGCTTTTCGTCCCAAAAACGATATCCAGCTTGCTTGTAAGCCACCTCGTGCCGAGCCCTGGGAGAGGGAGAGTGGGGATGGGATAAAAAAGGAAAAATCTGGAGGGGCGTGGCATAGCCTTGTCTTGGTATTTGGAATGCTCAATTTTGCAAGCTTGTAACGTAAATTTGGGAACATGGGGCAACCACTTCTGGAAATTTCTATGGATACCTTGACCTTCAAATTTGTAAAGCTGTTCAATTCGTTTGCGAACGAAAAATGTGTGCATAACTTACATGAACCTAACATACAACTTGCGATCAATTTTCGGTGCCCACCCCTTTAGCTGAAGAAATCCATCTGAGGCTACTTGCTAAAAATTGTCCAAATTGGAATATTGGATCACCTTGACTCTTTTCAAATAATAGATAATTGTCAGTCGAAGAGCAAAAAATTCTGTGAAATTTGTAGAGCCATAAATATTGCAGTCAGGAAAGTCTCGAAAAGCCTTTTTCATCTACAAACAACATTTTACAACTCTAGCTTTCAGGCACGACGATTTTTGGCGGCTGTCTGAACGACGAATGATATTTGTTGAAGTTGCTGGTCATACACCTAGAGGGCTAAGACTTGGTGAAATGTCAATGGAAGAAATATATTATCGACTAGGAGAACGTCTAATGTATGCTTTCTATCTTTTCATGTATGCAAAAATTCCAAGCTTTTTGAGGTATCCAAATCTGCCTCTCTGCAAAGTTAGCATCGGCAAAAAAGAGTACGAGTTACCTATGGAAGTCAGCTCACTTATTTTGGTCCAAAAGACATTTACCAAATCAATACAGCTGTATTCTCTATAGGTGCTGATCCTGCACGAAAAACCGCAAAGATACACAAGGACGATGAATGCATTTATGAAGACGAATTTTATCAAAGTTAGAGACTTGACATGAAATGAAGCTTTTTACTGCAAAGTTTTGATTTTCAGGGAGTTTGTCGCGAACCATTGGCACACAAAAAGTTGACAGAACGAATGTTTGATTGGATGGAGTATGGGAATATGAACATGAACTTTCTTCGTGATTTCATGGCAAGTTATTTTTGTGCTTGCAAATGCTGTATGATTACCTCGAAGAGTTTCCTTAGCTCTTGCGTAGTTTATTTTGCACAAATATTTTTTCTAAAGGTTAAAAAAGTTTGGAGTACTCCCTGAGAGAGTTGTGACGTAGCGGAACACAGATGATGTGTCTGCATCACAAGTCAGCATGTCTTTTCAGTTTAATGTGAGTCCGTCAATGATAGGCTGTGATGGTAAGGTATTGGACGCCCCAGCACTTGTTGACAAGGTATGTGCCAATGTTAAAAAATACGCGCGAATGCTAAAAGAAAAGCTTGCGAGGAAAGCGCAGTAGTCACCAATGTATAAGAAAAGATCATTATAGTTGGCTGATTTAGATCGCGATCAGTTACTTCTGGCACCTTATAAATAAATCAGAGCATTACCGAGCATTTTCTTTGCAAAGCTGCAATTTAGGAAGGAAACAGGATTCCCCTAACGTACAAGAGAGAGATACGACAAAAGGAAGTGAATGGTAAGCTTTTTCATCGAAAGCGGCTCACTCTAGTACTAGCCTCAGCTACTTTCGTGACTTTGCTAATTTAAGAGATGTAAAGCTGCTTTTCTCAAATCCCATCAATGTTCAACGGAAATTTTGAAAGTAGTGCTATGAGGGGATTTTCAACATTTAGGTGTAAAGCAAGTTTGAACGGCAGAATCGCAGTTGATTTATATCATTGTAAACAATTACTCATTGTAAAAGCTTTTCTATGTAAAATCGGTGACTTCGAAAAAAAGGTTTCCTCTTAAAGATCAAACGCGAATGTGAATCACTCAATGGAGATATAATGGCTTGATAGGATGATGACAATTGTGAGTTGCATCTCTGTGCAAAAATCTTCTCAATCCATAGGTGAAACCTTGACAAATTAATTATCTATGCAATTATCTTTTTTGGCGCCGATCTTGCGTGGAAGTAGACCTTTTGCTCACTTATTAAGCTGAAGTCTATGGTTCGCAGATTTACCCTAATTTCACGCGTACAAGGCGCGGGGTGGTCCTAGCTTTCATCGAGCTGCTCAGCCGCCCCAACGTGTTTTAAGAAGCGATCCTTATGCCGCACGATTCGTCAGGCAAAACGCAGCACGGTATGGGGTTCCTCTGGTTGCGAAGTCCTTTGCTGTGTTCGGGCTGGTCGATGAAAGCTAGGACCACCCCGCGCCTTGTACGCGTGAAATTAGGGTACTTGCTAAACAAATCTACGACTTTGCAAAAAGTCCAAAGAGCCACTGGCGCGCCAGAAGTCGCTTGGATCCGTTTGGCACACAGTTTTCATAGGGTCCACTTATCGGATCGGCTTGTGCTTCTGCATACTGTATACATACATTTATCTATTAGGTCGTTTCATAAGTTTGTAGAGTTTTTATAATTTGACGGAATGACAAAATTGTGGCAACGGTCAACAATGATGTCCGTTATTGCGCACAACCTTCTACCACCGTCAGATTTTCAATTCCGTTTCTCCAAAACTCAGCGGGTCTGGTCCCTAAAAAGTCCTCTAACCAGCGCCTGAGATCGTCTTCAAAATCAAAACAGACGCCGTTCATCTTATGTGTGGCAGATTGAACGAGACGACCATATGCTAGAGCAAGATCTCAGAAGTACACTGGATACTATTGTACCTCCCGGTCAAGTCTTGCAGGACAGCTATGACGACGGTTGCCGTGGAGGCGAATTTTTGCCGCGCAGAAAAGTTCACTGGACCAGTTTCTTGGACCTTATGTGCAGTAGGGATGCATTTAAACGTGCGATCAGGTTGCATATGGTATCGGGGACCTCCTTATTCTTGCTTAGCAATATTCAATTCAGAACCTCCTGCCCATCCTGCAAAAAGTCTTGTTCAGGTGATACCCTGCAAACTCTTTGTTTTGAAGCAAGCCAATCCTTTTTTTGCCTCATATTGACGAAAAATGCAATATTCCATGTCGGCAAGAAAATCTGGGCAAAACGCTCTTTTTTAATGAGAAAAAAGAGCAAATGCCGAAAATGCTTCTTTTTGCATTTTGAGAAGTCCTTCTTTGGAAGGTGAGATCAAAGCAGATCAGCCTTTCTAGAAAACAATCAGATTGTTTTGAAGAGCATGATCAACTCTTCTGGATGGTATACACATCTTGCCGCAAACCAATATCGCTCTCAAAGAAATGAGAACGAGAATGAAAATTCTACGAACTTATGAAATGACCTAATACATGCTGATAGCGTGCTACCACCAAAGTCCTGGCTCAAGAGCTTTGCTGGAATTCGCTGTACGAATTTCGCGACAGACAGAGATTCACACAGACAAACGTAAACAACCCTTAGCTCGTTATTATGAGCCACTAGATGGCATGCCTAGCTTCGCCTGCCCGTTCAAACGGCTCAACAATGAGCTTAGTGCGTAGTTCCAAAAGTCAACTTGCCCACTATTGGATTCCTTCCGTTTTCGTATAAGAGAGGGCAGATACCTGCTGACCGCATTGCCTGTGTATTACCCGCATTTTCCACAATGTGCAATGAAAAGGAGTTCCACTGCTATTGTTTACACGAAAGTTAGAAGTGCTTGATAGTACTTGATAAGAGTTCATCTTCCTTCAAAATCGAAAAATCAATAAAAAGAGTGGGGTTTCTGCCGCGAAAAGTAGCCTACGAGAAGGATCGGTGTTGAAAGCATATGTGTGCAAAGTTTGGCGCTGATTGGTACACGCACTAAGGTTTCTATAGAGAACACACTATGGGATCCGTCAGAGTTTATCGATGTTACCAGTGTTACCCATGTTACTGGTGTTACTCATGTTACTCGCGTTACCCGTGTTACTCGTGTCACCAGTGTTACCAGTGTTACCAGTGTTACCACTGTTACTAGCGTTACTCGTGTTAATCACCAGTCAGTGAGATTGCGTTCTAGAATCAGACTGTATTTGTGATCATTTTACTACTTAACAGCAATAAGCGGTAACATTAGTAACACTAGTAACACGAGTAACACGGGTAACACTGGTAACACTTAACACGAGTAACATTAGTAACACGAGTAACACGAGTAACGCGGATAACTCGGGTAACACTGGTAACACTTAACACGAGTAACACTAGTAACACGAGTAACACTGGTAACATCGGTAAACTCTGACGGTCCCTAACTAACAATTTACCAACACTCAGTTTTATATATGTATAGATGATGGATGCTAAAACCTTTTCCTTTTTACCACTTTCATTTCAGAAAGTGGACAAAAGCTAAAATACGACTGTTAAGAGTTACAGACATCCCTAAATTTCGTGTTTTCGAGCTTCCATATTTATCTTATAATTAGATTTTGCACATCTGGAAACTGACACGTTACTTTGCATTCGTCTCTGTAGATAACTGAGACTGAATCTGGCACGTTTTTGCATCCATCTATATCCATTTTGTGTTTCATCTAGGCCTTTTCATGGCGCTGGTTCCAAATATGGCATTAGAAAAGGTGAGTTTCTCAAAAAAAAAAGTTTTTGGGGCTATTGAAAACCCGGACGAGTGCTTCTAATGGTATCTTTGTCTAAAGCAAGCATTAACAGGTAGACACTATCTGTTTGATTGTGTTTGCCACGTAAAAACACGTAAAGGGCTGGGGTGAGTTCGTTCAAGGGGTCGTGGTCCTCGGGGTTCGACATTTGCCTGGACGCTGCCACTAAGGAGGCGCGGGACACCGGAATGGGCGGTCTGCACACTTCGGTGTGCCTATGGCAACAACAAATTTGAAGGTTACTAAAAGTTTTTTTCTCACTCAGTTTACTTCTAGAAACTCGCCGTCGCCTACTGCGAGCACCCGAAGGCCATCACCGACATGGACGCATCTACGGCTCGCACTCTCTACGATTTTGGAGAGCAAAGCTTCATGATGACTTCGGTAATTGAAGAGCCCTAATCCAACAGTCCTCTATAGGGCCAATAACTGTGACCCAACAGTCCTCCTTAGGGCCACAAATACGATGAGCACAGCGGCGTAAATATTTGAAATAAACGTGTTAATCAAATGGCGTATTTGTAAGTAAAACTCAACCAAACTTTGCGTATTTCATTAAGTAAATTTTGTTATTGCATACTTCGAAGAAAGTAGGTTGATTTAGGCAGTAACCGCCGACAACCAGAATTTCGAATAATAAAATAGCGAAAAATCACGCGAAACATCCACATTATGAATCTGGTGGTTGGAGAAGTCAGAACTGCGACTTTTTAAGTTTCAAAGGGTAAGTGTTGTTCTACCAGAAGGTGAAGGAGTCAGGTCGATAGCAATGGCCGCCGAGAACGAGAATTTTGAAAATTAAGCGATTTTAAGATGCTTAGTGACAGCTGACGTTTAGACTCCTATAAATCTGGAATCTGAAGATGTGCAATGTTGCGACTTCATAGACTTTGTAGAGTAAGGCTTGCCTTATCAGAATATGTCTTAGCCGTACCGATCCATTGAGACAGCGCCGAGATCCGCGCTCTTGAAACAACAGGTAGAAAACCACTTTTCAAGGTTTAACAGCTCATGACTTCTTCAGATGGCATGAATCATATTGCGACTTCATGTTGGATTCTTCTCTTCCAGAGCTTTCAGACAATATATAATACTACTGCTTACCCGGCTCCGCCCGGCCCTGTCAAAACATCACGATAAAGTTTTCATCCCTATCCCTGTACAACCTTTCCGCCCACTTTTACATACCAACTCTTAACACCCTATTCCCGCTGTGTTAGTTATCAGCATGCTCACTTATCCCTGTGCGAATTCCCAGCCCCGTAGCTCAAACTTTGCAAAAAAATCGATAAATTCGATAAAACTGATGGATAATTCCAAAAACTAATATTGTATTCGTAATCAGCATGCTCGATTACCCCCTGTGCCAACTCCCAGCCCCGCAAGTCAAACTTTACAAAAATCCATAAAAATCGGTATCGATCGATGGATGACGGAAAGTAGCTTATGACACCCGCCCCGCCCCGAAGTGTATTTGTGCCAACTTTCGTCCGAATCGGTTCAATAATGGAATCTATTCGGAACATACGTACACACATATATACATACAGTGACCGCCAAGAAGTTGCGGACAAGCCGCCTTCTTTTTTTCATCGCTTATTTTTGGATGGAAAACGAAGATGAATAAACGATTGGATTGCATCTGGTGATAGAGCTCACCCAGAGCTACAACCCACACATTGCGCTTCCTGGAAATCATGTATTATAAAAGTTCTAAAAATCTTTTTCTAAAAAAAGTCCGAAAATGGCCGCGACACAATGTCGCGGGCAATAATTCTTCGAACGCGAAACTTTTCTGTTAGGTCATTTCTTGGAGCAAAAACAGGAGTTATTCGGAGAGGTAAGCATACTATATCATAGAACTCATCGAGGGCTATAATCGGGTAGTGGTTCCTTACAAAAAACCCAAGCTTAAATTTTGTTTTGCTTTTTGTTAGAAAATAATTTTTAATTCCCTTCTTCAAGCCAAATTTCTTCACATGGAAATCTATTCAAGGCATTCCAACAAGGCTTCGGATAAAATGGATGCTCTTTGTTATGCTCTGTGCATCGGACGTGTGCTGGTGAGTTTCTTTGCTGAGAATGGCTCTTGACAGTGCGTGCACATAACCCCACCTGCACCTCACCGCTGACTTGCACCGCTTTGCAGGCTTGTAGCTCGGCCGGCTGTCAATCTGTGTGCGTGCAAGTAGGCTCATTCGAAAGAGCGTGACTTCCCGGACAAGATGGTGTGCTAAATAGTTGGGTATGAAAAACAGCAGAGATTTGGCGGATGGGGTGACAGAGCGCAGCTTCAGTGGTAGGCTAAAGATTTTTTAGTTAAAGTTGAGCAAAGCTTCTTTCGCTACCAGTTTCATCCTGGAAGTTCAAAACCGTAATTTTTCTTGTAATAGATCCAATTCGGAGCTCTAAAACCGTTGTGTTGATAAGAGCCTTCACTCCATTCACCTCTATGGCTGCGCTTTGTCGTTCCATCCGCCAAATCTCTGCTGTTTCTCATACCCAACTATTTTGCATACCATCTTGTCCAGGAAGTCACGCTCTTTCCAATGAGCCTACTTGCAGGCTCGTGGAGTGACTGCCGGCCGAGATAAAAGCCTGCAGAGCGGTGCAAGTCAGTGGTGAGGTGTGCAGATGGTGCGCCCCCCCCCCTCCCTCCCGAGAACGGGTCGCGAAATTTTTGAAAGTTGCTTACATGAGCTATAAAATTGTGCAAATGACTTGTTCATACTTGTAAATAATTGAAATATTTTTTAAAAATTTTTAAAAATTCAAATTAGCCTTATAAAAAATTTTTTTTCGGGGAACAGACAGACAAACAGACATTCAGCTTTATATATACGATCAGCATGCAGAGTTACCCCCCCCCCCCTGTGCCAATTCCAGCCCCGTAGCTCAAACTTTTAAATCGATAAAATCGATAAAAGTATGGATGATTCTAGAAGCTTATATTGTATTCGTAATCTGCATGCTCGATTACCCCCTGTGCCAATTCCCAGCCCCTGAGGTCGAATTTGCAAAAAAAACCAATAGAATCGATGTCGATTGATGGCGAAAAGTAGCCCATGGCACCCGCCCCGCTCCCAAGTGTATGTGTGCCAAGTTTGGTTCGGATCGGCTCAGATATAAAAATTTCTATTGAAACATACATACAGAAATACATGCAGACAAACAAACATTCAGCTTTATATATAAGATGTGGGGGTTTCGCGCCTCTCACGGCATATGCCCGGGGTGGAGACTTTTCAACACAAAGTCTCCCCCGGCGGCCTCCAGCCAATACATTGATATTGGCAAGGTGGAGACTTCGGGAGGAAAAGTCTCTACCCCGGGTTAGAGCCGCAAAAGTTGCTGAACCCTTTCCCCCTCAAATATTATACATCATCTGAAAGCTCTTGAAGAGGAGAATCCAACCTACGAACGCAACGTGAGTCATGCAATTCTGAAGAATTTATAGCTGCTGAAGTCTAAAAAGCGGTTTTTTACCCATTTTTTTCAAGAGCGTGGATCTCGGCGGTATTTCAATGGATCGGTACGGCTGACATATTCTGATAGGGCAAGCCTAACTCTACAAAATCTTTGAAGTTGCATCATTGCACATCTTCACATTCCAGATTTATAGTCTAAACGAGCTGTCACTAAGCATCCTTAAATCGCTTAATTTTTTGAAGTTCTCGTTCTCGGCGGCCACTGCTATTGACCTGACATCTTCACTTTCTGGTAGAATGACACTTACCTTTTGAAACTTATAAAGTCGCAGTTACTGACATCTTCAACCACCAGATTTATAAAAGTGGAAGTTTCGCATGATTTTTCGCTTTTTATCACTCGAGATGCTGGTTTTCGGGGGTTACTGCCTGGATCGACCTATTTTCTTCACAGTACGTTATAATAAATTTACTTGATAAAATATGTGTAATTTAGCTGAGTTTTACATCCGAATTACCATTTGATTATCACGCTTATTTCAAATATTTATGCCGCTGTGCTCATCGTATTTGTGGTCCTAAAGAGGGTCGTTGGGTCACAACTACTGGTCCTAGAGAGGATTGTTGGGTTAGAGCTCCTGAAACTCATCAAGAAGCTTTGTTCTCCGAATTTGTAAGAAGTGCTGGGGCTTAGATGTGTTCATGCCAGGATGGCCTTGGGGTGCTCGCAGTAGGCGAGGCGAGTTTCTAAAAGTAAACTGAGTGAGAAAAATACTTTTAGTAACCTTTAAATTTGTTGTTCTTATTTTTCCTTCTTGTTAGTCAGTGGAAAAGCTTATGAAGCTTTTGAGAAAAAAAAATTATCTTGCGAAGGTGACGTCGTGCTGTGCTCCCCCCCCCCCCTCTCCCCGGTCGAAGTTCTTGGGAGGTGAGTGTCCAGCACTACCACCTTCACTTTCGCCGGCCAGTGGTAGCTGGAACCACCCTTACTTTTGTGGGGCCCTGCTATCGCACCTTTGCTTCATATCCTTGTTCCTTGCTCATTGATTTTTACTTTACCAGTGATTCCATTTACTGTTCCTCTCCACTTACCTGATCTCAGAACCTCCACTTGGAGACATATATTGCGCTGTAGTGATAATGGCAAGAGAGAGGAGGGCTGAAAAGCAGAATGTCTGCCAAGTAGACGATGTTGGGTAGGTTACCTACACTGTTTCAAGAAAAACTAGGATATCTATTTCCAGCACATTTTTTCTCGAATTAATGGAGAAATGTCGTGAATGTGGATTGAACGTCGCTGAACAGCCACTTTTACGAGTAAGAGAGTCAGAGGTTTTATGGCGAGTGTTAGAGGTTTTTTTAGTATTACGAAAGAGCAGATGCGACGAATTTTGAACAATATGTGGATGATGCTCAAGAGCGATTCAAGATGCAAAATGGGACGCAAAAAAATTTGCTGCTGCTAGTAATAAATGACCGCTATGATTCGTATGGCAATCGAGGAGGAGCTTACGGTAATAAAATGTTATCACAGTCACTTTGTCTCGGCACTTTCTGGGCATGGAACGGTAGGGTTACGGTGTTTCATTTATAGGGTTCATAAAATCAGTATGTGACAATAAGTATGGTATCGCTAGTCAAGTCATAGATGCTTCCACTCTCACGTCAGCAGTTCAGAACACTAATAAGTAGGTATCAACTTTAGATTTGAACCCTGTACACCTTAAGTTCATTTTTTGTAACTGGTCAGCAAACTTTTTAAATTTATCTTGTCACGCACTAACCAGGGTCGTTAGTGCGAGGGCGGATGTCCAGGTGGAGAACGAGAGAGTGATAGAAGAATTTATTAGAACAATAGAAATAGGAGACAATTACAGCAACTAAAACAACGGCCGGGCGGCCTTATTTATAGCCGCCACGGTATAAAGTACATGGTCAAGATCAACATTCAATAATCATTGCCTATGGCCTATAGGCATCCTTGACAATTTTTAGGACCGTTTACGACAATATCGTTCTTAAAATAAATGCCAAACTTGGAGGAGTAAATCGTGCAGTTCTTTTTGAGAATGAGTGAGTTTGCAACTGCAGGTTTCTACTTTACAAATAAGGAATCCATTCTAGAACTTCTGAACCAAAAACGAAAGATTCAGTGATGTATGTCGGAATAGACGTTACACATCCGACTGCGAACAGCGGTATTGACATCTCGATCGCTTCCATGGTGGCAAACTTTGACTTGGCTGCTACGAGGTTAGCAATCTGGTTCAAATGATAGTTGATTCTATGGGCCCAAATTAATTTTCTGTTTTTTAGGTATACCAATGAGATTTTTGCGCAAATGAAAGGAAAGGAAACCGTTGAATGTTTTGAGAGGCAGTTCTGTCGACTGATGATTAAATTTCATGAGGTGTGTGGATAGTAAAACTTACCACTTTGAAAGTGTGATGGGAGTTGGTCCATGTGTCGTAGTTTCTTTACAGTATCATGCAGCTTTGAGGCTGCCTTTATGCATGGTATCTGGACTTTTTATGTGGTCAAGAGGCTTGGCCAAACCATTGCCTAGGTGTGTCGCGAATAAAAATGTGTTTTTCAAAGCTGCTTTAGCACTCGAAAGTATGGCCTCGTCACATTGTTATCTTTCGCGACGGTGTCAGCGACTCTGAAATGCTACGCACAGCATTCATCGAGCTGAAGTGGATCAAGTGAGCAAAATTAGCATCTTACAATCCTCCATATGAGTGTAATCATGAATCGTTGAATAATGCAAATCTCTTACCAATTTACGAAATTTAAAAATTGAAACCCAACGACGAAATGCTCATTTTGATTTCATGCTGAAGTATATGTGTGACAATTCAGAGACTCATGGAAGAAAATGACGATGATAAGTAACGATGATTTGGCTCTTGATGTGACCTATACTTACATAGTGATTCAAAAACGACATGTGACACGATTCTATCAACCTTCGAAAGACGAGAAGGGAGAGGACACGTGGGAATTGACTTCAGCTTTCGATACCAGAATTATGACGAAAGATTGGCAGTTTCAGTTACGTGAATGTGCCATCTGGAACAATTGTTGATAATGTCGTTGTCTCACCACAGCTATTTGACTTTTACTTGGCATCGCAGATCGGAGCCATTGTAAGTTCTTTCGTTCAAAATGTCTCCAAAAGGGAGTGTCGAAGCAAATCTGGGCACCTGGGTTTAGATGTGGGAACTAATCTAGGAAGAAAGAGCTATTTGCGGGCGCTCGCAATATTCTGTCCGAGAAGTCCACATCCAAATTTCAGCCTAAATCGCAGTTCTCCGAACGGACCAATCGGGTTGCACATTTTGACTTCATAACTGGGCCACTGAAAGGACCAGAATGGCAACAAAAGCGAAATTTTGTATGGACGCTGCCTTTAAGATTTCAAAACTTGTGTTGCCTCAGCCGATGGCTTAAAGTTTTTCCATTCTTTCTCACTCTAGACATCTAGGCATTCGGATCTGCCTCGACGCTGTCTTTGTCTCAATTTTCCTAATTCCTTCCTAGGGTACAACTCGCCCAGCCCACTACACCGTCGTGCTTGATGACTGGGGTATGAGTTCAGATCAAATCTATGTGAGTTCATCGTTCTGAGCGGTTCGATGCAAATAATTTGACGAGTTTTAGGAGATGTGTTATCGGCTGTGTTTCCTCTATGCACGATGTAGGATACCCGTATCATTGCCATGCCCTGTCTATTATGCTCATCTCGTTTGTGAAAAGGCAAAGGAAGTCTATAAAACTCTGTGCAAGTAAGTTGTTGTCAATTTTACCGGCATGGCAGTTTTTGATTCTTACAATTACATAGTTATTTGCTACCGTATGCCTACGGCGTGATAGAAAAATTTAGACGGATCACTGTGACCTTTGACCGTTCTGGAAATTTTCATTGCGAAACTTGAGAAATCTTGGAAAGAGCTTATGTAAGTATTCACGTAACTTTTCTTGTAGATACCAAATCAAAATTTTCTGAAACATGCAAAATCTAATTGATGCGCAATGAAAATTCGACACAAATATGTAATTTATCCGGAAACCGAGGTAGATAAAGTTGCAGAAAAATATCATCATATTTATTAGAGTTTATAGAGGAGAGGTATGCCGCATCGACAGTTGAGCAGAAATTCTATAAAAACCCGAGAGTTATATCACCAGAAGTTCTTTCTTTCTTCCATCTTTCGCTAATCTTTATTATTTTCTTATTTTTATGGATCTATCCTATCTTATATATCAGGTTTAAAGTACATTCCATTCCAGAATAATCATGTATCAGATGTCGGGCACTTTAAAAGTCCAAGCAAATCTAGGTACCTGGACTCCTCGTAAGGATACTGATGGGAAAGTCCGCTTAAAGGCACCGTCCACCCTAAGTTGAGGGTGTTGAGCTTTTGGCAGCATTTAACACTAGGTCCTCCTATCAAGCCAATGCCCAAGGCTGCGCAAAATGCCGCTTCGGAAGCGAGAAAATCGCTTCGGAGTAGCGAAGATGCACGAGGACCCCCATCCACTCCCGCCCCTCCCCATCCATGCCCGCCCATTTGTGCGCGCTCATCCAATCACCGTTCTGGAAAGCCGGTTTTGGGTTCTCCGGAATGGATATTTTCGGGATTTTGGCGGATTCTCGACTTCATATTTGGAACCAGGAACATAAGAAAGGCCTAAAACGACAAAAACCTGGAAGTCGAGAATCTGGGTGGACGGTGCCTTTAAGCCATTGTCCGAACAGCATCTCGTATGATTTATTGGCTTGTGAGAAGTACAAATCCTGTTCCATTAGCGTACCCGAGAATGCTGATTGGTCCGGTCAGAAAGAGTACGGTACTGGGCGAGGGCTTAGACTTTAGATTGTGGATGCGAAAGAATCATATGATTTGCGGCTTGGGCAAGGCTTAGTTGGGACCTCCTGATTGTTTTCTCGTCAAAAATTCCAGATGCCAGATTTGCCTGGAAAGCTTGGAATGACTTCAGAAGCGATCTGTTCTCTAATTATCTGCGATATTGCAGTGAACATCGATTCGACCAATTTGCAGATGATGCAGAAGGAGAGGCATTGAGAAAGAATGCAATAGAAAGTTACTTGGCTGTACACAAGGATTATCCGGGAATGCATTTTGTTTAGTTTGCTAGGTTAAATCTCTATGTTGTATCTACTAGTAGTGCTTACATAATCCAGAAAGTAGTATAATACTAACAAATTGTAAATGGTGCTTTATGTAAGTAATTGCCATATCTTGACTGTTCATGATTACTGATCTTGTGCTAAATCTTTTATATGTTATACCTCAGAATTTTCTTGTACCATAATGCTGAGCTGTCAGTCCCACGTCCTTCTATTTCGGCTTTTTACTCACAAAATTATCAGTTTGTTGTTTCTCTTTCAAATTTGATCACAAATACACCAATGGTTAACCTTTTAGAAATTTTCGTTTTATGTTACGCTTTATTTTCATAGTTTCTAACTTCCTTACTTCGTACCCTTCCCATACAATCAGTATGTGCAATGATTTCTCTCATCTAGTCTTTGTATTTTTACTATATTATATAATGGTTGAAGCTGTACTTTTACTATTTTTCATTCAACCAGACCTCACCAATGTGATGCTATTCGACTGAACCTTTTATCTTGGTGAAATTAGGTGAGGCGTGTTAGCTGGGTAAAATTTCTATCTGCGAGTGTTTTACGAAGCTTTCACTGTTAACATTCAGCTAGTATTGAAGACGGCAATCATATTTCGGTGGGTCATTTTGATAGAATCCAGAGAAAGTAGCTGAAATACAGTCCTTGTATCTTTTTTGCATATGATTCGATTTTCTTTCTCTGCTAATCTTATATATAAAGCTGAATGTCTGTTTGTCTGTATGTCTGTCTGTCTGTATGTATGTGTGTACGTATGTTCCGAATAGAAAATTCCATTTCTGAACCGATCGGGACCAAACTTGGCACACATACACTTCGGGCCCCGGCGGGTGTCATAGGCTACTTTTCGTCATCGATCGATATCGATTTTATCGATTTTTATCGATTTTTTTGCTGAGTTCACCTACGGGGCTGGGAGTTGGCACAGGGGGGTAATCGAGCATGGGGATTCCGAATACAATATTGGTTTTCAGGATTATCGATTACTTTTATCGATTTTATCGATTTTTTTGCAAAGTTTGAGCTACGGGGCTGGGAGTTGGCACAGGGGGGTAATCGAGCATGGGGATTCCGAATACAATATTGGTTTTTAGGATTATCGATTACTTTTATCGATTTTATCGATTTTTTTGCAAAGTTTGAGCTACGGGGCTGGGAGTTCGCACAGGGGGGTAATCGAGCATGGGGATTCCGAATACAATATTGGTTTTCAGGATTATCGATTACTTTTATCGATTTTATCGATTTTTTTGCAAAGTTTGAGCTAGGGGGCTGGGAGTTGGCACAGGGGGGTAATCGAGCATGCTGATCATCCCCAAGGGGGGTGATCAGCATGCTCGAACACCCCTGTGCCAAATTCCAGCCCCCTAGCTCAAATTTTCAAAAAATCGATAAAATCGATAAAAGTAATGGACGATCTTGAAAACTAATATTGTATTCGTAATCTGCATGCTCGATTACCCTCTGTGCAAACTCCCAGCCCCGCAGGTCAAACTTTGCAAAAAAATCGATAAAATCGATAAAAGTAATGGACGATCCTGAAAACTAATATTGTATTCGGAATCCCCATGCTCACTTCCCCCCTGTGCCAACTCCTAGCCCTGTAGGTGAACTCTGCCAAAAAATCGATAAAATCAATAAAAGCAATCGATAATTCTGAAAACTAATATTGTATTCGGAATCCCCATGCTCACTTCCCCCCTGTGCCAACTCCTAGCCCTGTAGGTGAACTCTGCGAAAAAATCGATAAAAATCGGTAAGATCGACATCGATCGATAACGAAAAGTGGACTGTGACACGCGCCGGGGCCCGAAGTGTATGTGTGCCAAGTTTGGTCCGGATACGGCGGAGCCGGGTAAGCCAGCTAGTTTTCTAATATTTTTCACAACAAAAGCATCTAAAATGAAATCAGTATGGGAAAGCTCATTTTTCATTGATAAATAAGAACTCTGGAGTTGAATTAGTTGTTGGAGACATCATCTCGAATATGATGTTTCCTTGGCATTCTTGAAAAATCTGAGCAACCCAGAGAATTCCATTGTGGGCATGCTGATCGAAAGTGGACTCTTTCTTTCCTCAGTTATGCAATTTGTTTTAGACTATTTCATAATATACTCCCATCTTGTTTACTGATCTGATATTCAATTATGTGGTCAACGTATTCCTTGCTCAATGCCGTTCACTTTTAAGTAATTGAAAAAGAATCTGTCATACCTCTGACCTTTTGAATAAACCGAATTTGTCTTGCTTGGGCCGCAAAAATTTGGTTTTTGTGAGTTAGCATCATGCACATGAAAGAAAAATTGCATATGAGAAATATGCGATTTCAAAGAAAACTACTTTTCTTGAGATTTCCTCTTTTCACTCGTACTGCTTATTGTTTTTTAGTACATACATTGTGTAATGGCGAAAAGACATGCCTGCTCTGTCCTTTTCAAACTCTTTGAAAAGTTCATTGAATCTTCTTTTTTTTGACAATTTATATTTTATAGTCTTCTTGTTATTCATCTCTACCTGGCAAAAAAATAGTTTGAACTCACTTGATATTGTAGAAGAAACGATAGTTAATCTACCGCATTTTCAGATTGCGTCGCCTATAAAACAAATCGGTTAACGCGCTCTATATACATGTCTAATGCAAGTGTCCTATGAGTCATCTGCGACGCGGTCAAGATTGAGAAACAATATCATCAGGAAGTTTTGACGCCTGCACTTTTTCATAGCAGCTATGCTATCACGACTGGCCAAAACTCTCTCCACATTTTCACTTTTATGGACATTAGAATTTGAGAAAATTGCGCAAATTAACGGCTACCGTCAACTTGCACACTTTTTAAACCTGCATTCGATCTTTCATTTCTGATAAAAGCATCAATTTTTTCGAATCATCTATGAATTGAATTTATGCTTTTAAATCAGTTTTCGAATTAATCGACAAGGACAAAATTTTTCGTTTATTTGATGCATTTGTTCTCTTCTTCATTGACTTTTGTGTAATGATTCTTAAGATACTGCAGTGTAATTACTTGCAAATCGTTGAAAATACCTCAAAAATTTCATGTCTATTCGTTGCATCCGGAATTCGTTAGCTTTCATTCTGCTTGGATTATTGCTGTTAATGGATGTAGACAAAGAAACGAACGCAATTTTTATCCGCTGCACGAAATCTCATTGCATTAATTTCTAGTATGCCATCGCCGTTTCGTATGCGATTTCAAGAAACTTTCCGCTGCCCACTAATTTCTTAAGGATGGTTAATGGTTACGTGGTTTGAACGTGCCTAACAAAGCGATTTCATGGGAGCTCGCATTCACTTGCAATCCCCATTTTAGGAATGAATTAATATATTGTAGCATGTTGGCTGTGACAAACGAAGATTGGTGAATGTATTGTTACTGCTGCATCGCTTCGCCTATTGAATTTTCCTGTCGGGCCTGACAACAGCGCTTTGTTATCTGATTTGGCTGTGGCGAATCAAGTAGAATGACTATTCGTGATCACTAATGATCCGTGTACCGCATGCTAATAACATTTTAGCAGTGCTACGCTATCTCAGCTTAGGCGTGGTTGCTCGTTGAAATTTTAAACAATTCATTCCAGCATCTTATGTGGCAGAGGGTAAAAACGGACCAGAATTCTTGTGTTGGCGGGTGAACGGTGAGGAGCCCAGCCTGAATCTCTTGGTGTTATGCCGTCGAGAGTTGTTGTTGATGATTTATGTATCATCAACCTCAATAATTCTATAGTCCTAATAGCTCACGGGTATTCCCCAAAGGCTACATTCCCCAACCACTTATATTTAAGTGCCGAATCACTCACCAGTGAGTGGCACCTATCTTCCAGGGGCCGCGCCAAGCCGCGGCATCCTCTTTCTTGCATATATTTCCTGGACAGTCTGATTGTGCACGGGTCAGCTCCGCCTTACTAGCTATATAAGGAGCCCCCGAATGTATTAGAGGTTGCTCCCCCGGTTCACACCGGGTTCGTCTGTGGATAAATTATTATCGACACCACTATCGCCTACAACGCTTGGTTCCCACCAAAGTTGTAGCATGTATAGGTGTGACACTTTGCCTTTGGCAAAATCTCTTATTCATTAGCCAGCAGGGAGTCTGCGCATGCGCATCTTTGTTGTAGATTGAAAATATGGTTTCTTATACTGTTTTTAGGAAAGTTGCAATGATTTTTATTGATTGGCTTCTTGGCTTCGAAGAGCACAGAAAGATATCATGATGCTAATTATCACAAATATAAAAAGTTAAACGACCATTTTATGACTTTTTTGTCATTTAGAGAACGCCTGCAATATTTTCACCTGTGTAATAAGCGTACATACTATTTTTTCTTGCTTTCTTCTGAGAACGACATCAAGCTTGCTTGAAGTAATCCCAGCCTTGCTCTCTTTCCATTACAAAAGTAACGCACCGTTGCGGGCTGCTACTGATGTATGTTTAGGGGAGAATGCGTGGTATAGAGAGTAGTGCTCTTACAATTTTGTGAGACATCGACGAATAGAAGGGTAATTATACGCTTTTTCTCACTATCCTTCTGCCTTACATGATCCCTGTTTTTGCGGAAATTTCTCCAAGAATGACTCAGTCTGCGGTTAGCAATCTAATCAACCGTAGCAGGATTCTAACTCAAAGTGTCTCCTATGCAATGCGTGTGACATTGTCAAAGTATCACAAATCTGGTGATAATATCTCTTGATTTCAAAAGTGAGAAAAACGAAATCCAGAAGATAGAAGCGGCGATGGCGACTTCGCCCATCAAAGTTGACGGGCTAAAGATAACAAGTCCATTATTGCGTGTTAGTATACCAAAAATCTTCGGGAATTCGTCCTGAATTATGTTGAGATTTTAAACAATTTTGGATGCAGTGTGTACCAAATTTGACTTGTTATGTTCAGATCACTGACATCGGAAGAGCCACTATCGCCACTTCTACCTTCTAATGATATCAGCGCAGCAAGAATCGTGCGATCTTTTTATTAGAGTCCCTGCTGTAGCATAACAAAATTTCACCACCTTCTGTCTGCGTAGACTGTGTCTTTCAAGTTTTATCCCAGGTAACTGATAAAAGTTCAAAGTTGTTGTTAGTCAAAATCGCTGGTATTTCTGGGTGCATCTGATGAGTATCTTATTAGGTTGAACCGAAAGTTCTGTCGTTTCATTTTCAAAAATTTGTAACTCCGCGAAATTTCAACGGATTTGCTTGCTTGTAGTTTTATTAGAAAGAATAATTTTTTCGCTTTCAAATGCCGTTCCGTAGAGCTTCTGTTTCATACTGAGTGCGGAGATAAAAATGGAAAACTAAGACCATATAAGCTTTGACCATTTTGAGTTAGGTCGCCAAAAATCGGGAACGCTGCAGAAAAATCTAAATCGTTAGTACTTATGTTTTTGGCCTACCCTTTGCAACTGTGAGAAGTTTGTGGTGTTTGGACGTTTCTGTGAGAAGTTATGAATATCGAGTTTACTATGGAAAACGCCGAAATCAATTAATTTTCAATTTTTGCGAGAATCATAACTTCTCACAGAGACGTCCAAACAGCACAAACTTTTCATAGTTGCAAAGGGTAGGCCAAAAACATAAGTACTGATGATTTCAAATTTTTCCTTTAGCCTCACACCTTGTCTGTAGGTCGCTCCATTAATTAGGTCCAGAAGTGATGCAGACAAACGTAAACAACCCTTGGTTCGCGACCATTAATATGAATGCCATACTTTATGCAATCTAATGACTCTGGAAAAGAATATAAAAGCGGTAGCCATCGAATTGCATCTTTTGCTGACGAGACTGCAAAACTTTGGACGCTCCTCTCCGTTTTGTGGACTCTTCTCCATTTTGTGGACTCCACTTGGCTTTTAGTCGCGGGGCAAGTTGATTGCCTGTTAGGTATGTCGCTTTTTGTGTCTCCTTTGTAACAGTTACTCGTATCTTGTCAAAAGTCAAAAGAGACTAATTTGCAGAATACCTTCAAGAAGATGCATGCATCCACATCACAACAAACATCCGTCGGTCCGGACCATACAAGGGTAGGAGTTGAATTCGTATGAATGACGAACTTGGGAGCGCCTTTGCCTGTCAGTAGAATAATGGGATTAACGCAAGTCGAGACTGTGGGTGGAGAAGTAGTGAGGTGCTCGCAGAGTAAGATGCCTTTTCAGAAGTCATGTGACAAATTTTGGTGGCGTCAACAAGTTAAAAGCGAACAAGATCCTGATAGACTTTGTGACCTAGGCGACTCAAGCTGTATACGTACGCAGCGTACATTCGCCACGCTGCCTTATAGGCAGTGGATCAGCAAAACGGTCCTTCTCGGATTTTGGTGGAGTTAGGTAGTAGATTCTTCAAGTACACTGTAAGACTCCACGTACCAATTCATGCGCTAAGTCCTGAAAGATGCGCTTCAAAACTTCACCTACTTCGTCCACTTCCATTGAGCAGGTGGGGTCGGTCGAGTTTTGAAGCGCGTTTATAGGACTTTGCGATTGACATGGAATTTGGGCTACAGTGTACTTGAGGGATCTACTACCTAAACCCACTCAAATCCGAGAAAGGTCCATGCTGATCCACTGTCCTAAAAAGCTGTACATTATCCAAATCACACAATGCTTGCTACCCATCTGCATTCCCTATCTGCCAAACAATTTCTAAACGAGGTTTTGTTTATCATAAAATATCGCATGGAGATTTGAATACTGGAGATTATTTGGTTATTTCGTATTACAAAGAAGTTTTGCGTCACATATGGGTAGCCAACGCATAAGATTGCAAACACGGAGTAGCTGTATGTGTACAGACTCGTGAAGCGAGAATCTGCTAGTTTTGACACTGTCCGACTCCGTTCACCCAGCATCCCTGCTGCCGTCGATGTTGTCATTTTGTTCACGGATTAATTTCAACAAGAGAGTGATTGTAAAACGTTGAAAAGGTCAGCAAACTTTTTTGAAGTGTAGATTAAGGCACCTTTGAAACAGTATTCATCAATGGAGAAGAAGAGCAGCTTGTGCCGGCTTTGGTCCTATGAAAAAAGCGACCGACCATCTGATGGATCTGGATTGCCCATCTGTTTGACTCTGGATTGGCCATTTGACTTTGCCGTTCTTCCGGGCTCAGTCGCGAAGCTAAGAGCTACATACGAAATGTTCAAGCGCAGTATTTTGAAGATTACCTGAAGGCAACACGCCGAACTTCATAGTGCGCATGTAATTCCCGTCCTCATTCACCTTGATACTGTGTGAAAGCGGAACATTAATGGGAGGTTACAATGTGAGAGACAAGAGATGGTACTATGAATGTCAGAGTGGAATACTTGCGAAGCAAAACGCTTTCGTGGAAGACCATCAAATAAATGGGCAGGCGTGTTTGTGGAACGGACACCGGCAGGGAAATTAGCTGAGTACAACTTTCCGTTTGAAAGTCGAGTGCAGCCACCGACGACAGTCAAGAAGCTCATGATTGTCAAAAACGAAATATAGGGAACTTATTAACTTGTAACTTGTCTTATCATTCCGTGCACGCCACGCGAAGACAAGCTACACTAACGAGGGAATGGGTAGAACTTAACCCATCTATTTCAAACAAGCTGTATATCGAACTCGCCTTGAAACGGTAGTCTCAAATATTCTTACTCTTATTCCTTATTCAATATGAACGGTTTTACAAGCATCTAGAAAAATCGTGTTTTTGTTTGAGATTTCAGATATTCAGTGGGACTGCATATGCTATACCATGTTTTTTCCTTTGGTGATGGTTCTTCAGTTGTTTTTGCCAGTTACGAGCGGGTTTGGAGGTTATACAGGCCCGAATGTCGTCATCCCAGTCTGGATCTGCCGTCTCCGAAACCTTGACCGGTGGCTGGTATCTAACTCGTTAAAGCTGTTGTCCATCTCCCTTTTCCTTGATGCATTATATTTTTGGACAAATCACCACTTTCTTTTTTGTGCTGCTGCAAAAGCATCTTTAAGCTATGTGATGGATCGAATACAATTTGATAACTTGATCTTTCAAACGAAATTCCAGCATTGAATTTTCCATCGCTCTCTGACATCGGAGGAGCGTCGTTAGCAACTTTTTTGTCAGCGCCCAGGTTTCTAGTCATATATAAGTGTCGGGAGAATTATGGTATAAAAATAGTGACACTTTAAATAAACAGCCACATTTTTGTTCGTGAGGAATTCTTGTGTTTTGTTCAAAACGTGCCATGCCAAAACGATGCATCTTGATGCTTTCATTTCTTGGTCATGCGAACATCGTAGTTGTTGGCTGAGATGAAAATGGAATGTACGCGTTCGATGATATTACCATTTGGTGTTAGGTTGAATTTGTCCAAATGTTTCCTCCGTTGTCATCCATCCATTTGGTCTTGTTTCCGCTGACTTTAAATCCATTGTGCTCAGATGCTTTAAGAAGTTTTGCTGCCATTGGTTGTAGTCGAGCTGGACAGTGATTTATAAGCATAACGTAGTCCGCAAAGGAGGTGGTGCAGGAGGAACCAAAGCCCTTGCCGCCTGTCAAAGGGGAATGGGGAAGGCAGAGGAGGCTCCGCCCATCGCTCCGCCCACGGGATGCTCTCATTGTGTGTTGAGCAAGAATGGTGGATGGACTACCGGATACTGATCAAATCTATTGGATTAAGAGGTTAAACCATGGATTTGGAATTTGGGAAATGGACAGTAAAGGCTCTCAAACAGGTTTTCAGGTACCAGGATGATAATAAAAATAGTATCATGTCATAAACCTAATATATAAATAGAGTAACCATCTTTCTAAGAGTCAATGTATGGAACACCACTACCATTGAATTCTTTTCAAACTTTGTTCAGAATCGAAATGATGATACAAAGCCTTGAAAACGACCAGAAAAAAGTTTGATTCAAAGCAGGGGGACATAAGCCGAAAATGAAGTTTCAGAGTGGTTCTAATAATAATTTCAACAAAGAGACTAAGAAATTCTGGATACTCAGATCCAAAAAGGACGTAAAATGCAAATGCAAACATTTTATGCCTGAGAGGAGGCTCAGTAAAGCTTCACAGCTCAGATTTGAAGTGACCAAACCTGGACAATTTTACCCCGCTGGCAGTTGTCGAGGCATAGGATTAGAGAAGTGGGACAATATCAAATTGGGCGAAACCAATGTAAACTACTACCACTATTATAACAGACAAGTTTTGGTGACTTCTCTGCTTTTTCCAACTTTTTGACCGATTCTAATTTTGCAACTCGAAAATTTTTGATGAATAATTTGGCATCTACTTTCGCAAGTTCACCTTTTTGAAACAATTTTGCAACTCGAAAATTTCTGATGAATAACTTGTCATCTACTTTCGCAAGTTCACCTCCTGAAACACGACTTTTCAACGGCTTTCTCGCGAATTTTCCTCACCCTTCCTCTCCCCTTCCCCCCCCCCCCCCCAAGTAAAATACTTTGGAGTTAACAAAGAATAAAGTCTTCACTTGAATTATGACTTTCTTGGCTCATCAGACGACTGGCTTGATTCTGTAAAGGTCAAATAATCGGCTATCGATTGGCTCAAATGCAACTAACGCAGTGACTATCGTAAAATATTGAGAAAATTAGCTTAGGAAAATAAAATGCAATATAGAGTAAGTTTTCGCGAAGCCATTTATAGGAGTTCATGAAAAATTTCCGAAGCTTTTACCCCTCTAAAAAATTTTTCATCAATTCCAATCTTTGAAAGAATGATGAATTGCATTGATATGAATTCATACAAAAGTCCATTCAAAAGATTCGCCTTTCAAAACTGGTCACTATTTGTTTTCCCCTTCTCTGTATCTCCACTCCAAGTCTTTTAAACTAGACTTTTTCTTCCGTGAATTCCTGAGCAAAAAAGGCAAAACCCAGGCTCAGCGCGGGGGGCAGAGCTTGGATGGTTGCCAGATCCTTCTTGGTACGCAGCCAGCTCCTCCCCTTTCCCTCTGGGTTACAGGGGTCAAGAGCTCTGGTTCCTCTTGCACCGCCGCCGTCCGCAAAGGCAAGATAGTGAAGTTTTCTTCCATCGCTACAATATCCATCTCAATCGCTTCCTTGGACTGGCCTGCTTTTTCTTCTACTCGGCAGGCCAGGGCTCTTATTAAGCTTTGTATATCGGTAAAAGCGAAATCGAAGATTGCAATGCTTTTTTTGCAGAAGAGGATCACGTTAACATGCAAGAAATCGATAAGAATAGTGTCATTTTCAAATAGTCGGTTTATGATATTTGCGAGCTAAGGTGAGACGCCGTAATTAACATCTTTGGAACGAATAACATGATGCCTGGAGCAGTGTTGGCACGAATTTTTGACATCTTTTCTCAGTTCGTCGGCAGTGATCGTATTGGTTATAGACTGATAAATTCTGAACTCAGGGAAAACTCCGCTTCTGATATAGAACTCGGCAAAAAAGTTGTTTCCTAATGAGTCGGCTTTGATGGAGTAAGAGGTCATTGTTCCATTTTTTCGACGTAACTGACTGATAACTTCACGCTGTCGAATGGGTTCAAGACGTCCATGCTTTATGCTGCATCAAATGGCACGCTGAAAAACGAAAAGGTGATGTCGATAAAGATCATTTTTTATCGAGAGCTTTGCAGACAGTTGCATAATGAAGAGCATTACAAAATTTCCTGTGTTCTATTCCAGACTTCAGTTCACGCCTCAGCAAAAGAAGAGACCGTGTTCGTTTAGATACACATTTGTTCCAACGGTTTCCAACTTATTTCTTATCTAGCGGCAGCTTCCTTGACAGAGATGAGCGTCTTTCTCTAACAGTTACCGGATCATTCAGCACTACATCCAAGATGAAATCAGCAAAAGGATCACTGAGAGAGGGCTTTCATTTTAAGCTTACTGTAATCGATGGTAGTTAGTGTGAGCGGACGATAGTGCCTTAGTAAGAACATCAACTGTAGCCAGGATGAGCGATGATCGTTTTTAGCACTGAATCGATTGAGTACTTCTACACTGGTTGTTATTCTTTCAACGTCATAATCGATCTCTTCTTGAACCTGACCATCCGGGAGATCGCCAGGTCCATCCTTGCCTGTCAGGCTTCTGGAAGCAGCAAATTCAGTCAGCAGCAGTTCTTTGTTGTTTCTTGTCCTTAATCATTTATCGCTCACATAATTGGTTAGCGGTTCTTCTTTTCCTACACAGGTGGTGAAATCACCGATCAAAATGTCGTACATGTATATATCACATAACGTTGTGAAACTTCATGTTTGAGCTCCCAAAACTCCTCGTATCCTTTTTTTCGCCACGTTGCGTAAGCTGTCGTAATTCGCGTTGGTCTGCCGTCGAAGTGAATTGGATGATACGATCAGTGTTTGTCCGGGCTCGATGGAGGCCCTGATTGACCAAGATGCCTACTCCTCAGTGGCGTACCGAAGGGGGGAGGGCGGGGGGGGGGGGGGTGCGCCCCCCCCCCCCCCCCCGAGAATGGGTCGCGAAATTTTCGAAAGTTACTTTGTTATAAAATGTGCAGAGAACTTGTTCCTATTTGTAAATAGTTAAAATGTGACGGTAAACCGCTGCGTGTGTCGAGACGGTACCAGGGCGTCTCGCTCAGCCCTACGATGTCAAAATATATGCGGCGCAAATTTTTCTCAAAGGCCACTAGTTTTTTTTTCCGAAGATAAGGAACATATATTAGAATACATACGCGAATCTATTGTTGACGTCGTTGGGCCCTCCTCTCCTTGACTTCTCGTGCAGTCACGGTTGCTTCCATCGATGCACCAGCCAGTGATTCTTCCACCGGCTCCTCTCTTTTCCTTGTTCGGGAGTAGATAAGACTAGAGAATTATCCGACCGATTGTGGGTAGGGTTTACAGAAGCGAATTTCAAATATATGTTTACTATATGTCGAACGAGTTTGGAAGAGTTGTGGGCGTCTAAATTTGCTTTGTCAAGTATTTTTAGCGCATATTCCACGAAATACGTTTAAAAACACTTATCCAGGTTTTTTGGTGATTTTGCTTCTTCTTTGTGATTGGATTACTCGTAGTCACTGTAAATCCGTGCCCGCAGGCTGCCCTTCAACGAACTATGTTTGTTGGACGCTATTTTTTCCTCATGACTCCTTTTTTCAAGACAGTCTCAGATATGTAATAAAAATAGTAGGATATGTAATAAAAATTTCAATGCAAGTCGCATGAAATACAGCTTGTTTGATGTGGCTGGGTAAATTCTGACCATTACCTTTCAAGAATGAGTATGTAATTTTTGAGATTTTTGCGTGCTCGAAAACATCGGGAGCATTTCATTCGTGTGGTACTGGTAACAGCTAGCAAGTTTTTGCTTTGCCTTTCAAAAACGAAAAAGTTTGACTCAAATTACACCATACGGACACTGATTGAGGCGTGTGATGGTAAAAGCAAATTTGATTTTGATCCTCGCTAGTGTCATCCTTTGCAAAACACCTTTGTATCTGCCTTGAGACACCTTGACAACGAGCCATTTTTGATGTTTGTCTCTACGAGCCGTTTCCTGCATTCTTAAATCTGGCTGCATGTATGTATGCATGCATCTATGCGCAGGAAAAAAAGAAGTGGGCAGAGCAAACCCGCACTACCCTTTTACAAGCTCCCTCTACTCGGCAAAATGCTGAGTTTTGTTTAGATTGCTAGAATTGCGAATTCCGGCAATTTTGAAAAGTGAGAGGAGCTTGCCACTGAGGACGCGATCAACAACATTAGATAACGCTTAGCCGAAATTGATCATACGAGCACGAATTAGAACGATTGTATATCTCAGGTTTGAAATTTGGGGTCCGCGCATTAGTGCGCGACTCGTCCATAAAGATAGACTGCGTCCACGGGGACAGACTGCCTGTCGCGCACCATTGCGCGACGCTGTCGTTTGTCAATGACGGCAGTGTGCGAAACTTTCAGTGACGCGGGTCCCTTGAGTATGGTTCATGTATCTGCTCGGAATTTCAGTGTAGGGCAGTTCGGTAATGTAACTGCAAAGAAAAAACGCAAAATTTATGAAGTCCCACCATTGGAAGCTTGTTCTGATATCTGCAACGTATTTTCTCACCTCATTGCAGGAGCCAGAATCTGACTTTCCAGTCTGACTGGCAGCCTAAAAGAACGAAATGCTTTGAATCACTGCGTGCAGATGGACAGAAATGTGAATTATGCGCAGGTTGCTGACCGCGCCAGCTATCGTTGCTGGCCACGCTCATCTATTCCATTCTGCATTTGGAGTTGCAAATTATTTCTGAAAAATAGTCGTCTTGTTTCCATATCGAATACGAATGTTCAGCACGGTGGCGAGGTGTGTCCAGTCTACCCCCGTCCAGGCCATGGATCTTCAGGGGAGCAAATTCCTCTTCTTGTTAACTGGTATCGACTAGAATGCGGTCTATCGGGTAAAACGGTAAGTTAGTCACTATTAGTTTCATGTGCCGGACTTTGGTAGTCAGCAATCTCCCATCTAGCTTTCGCGGATCTTTAGGTACTATGATGTTGCTTTGGTTTCAACACAGGTTTACTGCTGCTAGCGAGACTCTGACCTTTCTACATAGCTGCAGGCTGAAGTATAATCTTTCAACAATGGCGTCCTTGCTATCTTTCAACCCCAAAGAATTTCAAATGGGTAAATATATGTGTAGTGGGGTTTCTGTGTCCGCTGATTTCAAGAACTGTGCAGGTTTATGTGACCTAGTAGACCTAGTGTGACCTAGTACCTTGCCCTTTTGATGGCTATCGCAAACGCGGTCCATATGGTCCACTTAGCAAAGCTTATGAACTAGAAATTACAGTGGAGTGCAATTGCTCATCACAAGAATAGACGACCATAAATTATTATCCAGTATGAGCGCTCACAGGTTTTTGGAAATTTTTTCACCGCAATATTTGCAACGCACTTTTGAAAGGGTTCCTTCCATGATCTAAAGTAATGGAGAGGGATTAAGGGATAAAGGATTCGGTCTTCTGAGGGCATGCGCCACGCACACTACTTCATAATCGAAGAAGCAACTGTATGCGTCCGAGCCTAATACAGTGACTTACGGGGGCGCCGATTATCGAGTCAGTGCTGTTATCCTCCCAGATTACTCTGATACCAATTTACCGGCTTTGAAGGGTAGAGGGCTTGGCTGGCCCAGGAGCGGGGATCGAGCCTGTGTCCGATCTGGTCATAGCGGCGCCTCATATCACTACGCTACTCGTCCCCGTGGAGAGGGATTACTGTTCCCTATTTTACTATCTAAGGGCCGCATGCACTAACATCCCCGCGGGGAGGGGACCGCAGCTTAAAAGAAAGCTTTATATTTCGAAACTCCAAATACCTGCATTTCAAGTTGTGTACCTATCCGTAATTATTCCTAACTAGATGGCAAACCCGGCTCCGCCCGGGACCAAACTTTGCACACATACACTTCAGGGCAGGGAGCGTGTCATAGTCTACTTTTCGTTATCGATCGATGTCGATTTTACCGATTCAACCCCTCCGGGGTGATCAGCATGCTCGATTACCCCCCCTGTGCAAAATCCTAGCCCCCTAGCTCAAATTTTGCAAAAAATCGATAAAATCGATATCGATCGATAACGAAAAGTAGCCTATGACACGCTCCCTGCCCCGAAGTATATGTGTGCCAAGTTTGGTCCAAATCGGTTCAGAAATAAAAATTTCTATTCCGCACATACGTACAGACATACAGACAGACATACAGACAGACAGACATACAGACATTCAGCTTTATATATAAGATACCCTTCACTATGAACATGTTGAACAGGAGCAAGAAGCTGTACGAACCGCATTTTCCAGCTTTTGTATGATCCCTGATGATCCCCGGCGCTTTTCTTTAAAGTCATTTTTCTTTTCTCGAAGTTGACGAAAACCTTCCAAAGTTGTACTGAACATCTAATACAACAGTATTAAGCATGTTGCTAAGCTAAGCATGTTGCTGATGAGAACAAATGAGTTTTTGAAAAATCGAATTTTTCGGCAAACCTCAAATTTCGACCTATGGATCATCGAAAATTTTCTTCAAAACATCATTTGTTCTTATCAGCAACATGCTTCGCACTGATGGGTTAGATAATCTGCACAACTTTGGAAGTTTTTCGTTAACTTCGGAGAAAGAAAAATGACTTTAAAGAAAAGCGCCGGGGATCATCAGGGATCATACAAAAGCTGGAAAATGCGGTTACAGCTTCTCGCTCCTGTTCAACATCTTCATAGTGAAGGGTAGTAAGAATACTTACGGATAGGTGCACAACGTGAAATCCAGGTGTCTGGAGTTTCGAAATATAAAGCTTTCTTTTCAGCTGCGATCCCCTCCCCAGCGGGGAGGTTAGTGCATGCGGCCCTAAGAAGGGAGGTATCTGACATCACACTGTCATTCCATATGAGATTTATGTGAAAGCATTTGTCTCAAATACTCATATTTTTTCTGGAAAAAGCTATGGAGCGTTTTTTATGAGCTGTATCGTTGCAGGTTTTAAGCTTGCGGGATTGCTTGTATCTAACTTACATGATGGTACTCGGTCGTAATGATGCACCGTAAAAATTCAGGCAACTTGGCTTACAGTTATGATTATCTAATATCACCACACGAAACTCATTGTTCATGTCTTCCTCAGGATGGTGTGCACTTAACGAACATGGATTTGGGATCGGCTTGCGAGGCGAATATGTCCCTTATACATGTTATGTGAAAATTCGTGACATCAATTCGACATTCCCTGCTAAGTTGAAGTCAGCTCTACAATACCTGAAGCAGAGAATGCTGTGTTCAATGCGTTTTTGGGACACCCTGTATATCTCAGGCCACGATCGCTTTGTACTTTGTGAAACAGGTGTTTATGATTAGAGAGATTGGGACCGTATTGATGGAGATTTTCTGATGTTTCTACAAACACGTTTAACGCAGTTTCTTTGGAATTTATGATTTGTGCAACAATCTTGAAAGGCCTGCCTGAAGAAAACGAGAAGATGTTGCAAATTCTTTACCTTATCTCTGCCTCGAAGCTTTTTTAGGGATTTGAAACGAAGATTTTGAAATCGCATAAATTTAGAGCAGGTAGTAATGACTTCGGAATTTGACCCGGCTAGGCGCTTGCCAGTGAACCATTTCTAAAGCACAGTGCTGGAAGAAAGATTTTGCGTGGGCTGTTTTGAAGACCTGTTTTTGATTACCATGTTTGCTCACCATCTTGCGCTATTTTGATATTTATTAAACAAAAGTAAAGAAAGTTAATAAATTTGTGAGTTGTTGACACTTTTTCAGCGAAGATAGTACATAACACCCTGCACGGAAGTCCATGCGTGTGATTTAAAACTTGCTAGGTTAAATACAGGGTGTCCCGAATTGCCGATATCCAGGTACCTTTTGCAGATTTGGCTTCAACTTAGATTCACAGTATGGAGCGATCTCCGATCTTTCATTACTATAGGATCGCGTTAAGGATCTTGAAGATGGTTTTGAGCAAGAGTTGCATTTTGATTGAAAGAAAACCGAACAGCCAAAAGCTCTGTTACTGTGCTATCAAAGTCGCTCATTTCAGTTGCTGCACATCAAAGATATGCTTCTTCCATGAATTATTTCCGTAAAGCGTAACAACTGCTTTCTTAGTCTTCATAAACCTGATTACAAGACTAAAAAACTCAGAAATCTTGCAATAAGTTGTATAAAATTAGCATGCTTGAAACACAAATTTCCAGAATTTCATAATGGCGCAGCATGCTGAAAGTTGAACCGTGAACAAGTAACGAAAAGCGGGTGGTAACTTGCTCGGAACTTTAAATCTAAGTTGAGACGAGCGAATTGTACTCAGGGAACGACAATTAATGCAATTAATAAAGCAAGAGAATTTCATGGAGAAATTGATGTGCACATTTTTGGGACACCCTGCGTATATATGTATTGGATATGCGTACCTGCAGCGTGGCCTTGGAGTTAGACGTATGGAGAAGGCGAATGCATCGAATGAGGTAATGTAACGATAAGATTCACCAATAATACTATCAGCCTGCGCTGACCTAATGATACACCTTAACTACCTTAACTTGCCCAACTTATAAATAAGAAAAATTTATCTTCGTTTACTGAGTGCATCACCGAGGCATTGATAGCTATCCGTATTCTGGATCACACCGCGCTAGGTATTTTTTGTAGACCACAGTCAATCTTCCGCAATTTTCTATGTATAAATTGTTTTATTTAAGCGATAAGTTCAATTCCAGCAGCAGCAAGCACATAAAATGTCAAAAACGATAAATATTGTAAGGTAAGACCGTTGGGGAGTTATATAAAAATTAAAGGCAGTGTCCTGGCAAATCTGGGCATAAGGGTTTTTTGCCTGGGAATTGATGAGGGGGTTCGAAATAAAGCACTGCCCAAGCCCAATTTGCACTGCAGCGCAAATTGTTTAATCACGGCTGAGAAAATCCGTCCCCGAAAATTCCGCGCCTTCGCCGTGACCGTAACTCAAAAACGACTTCGCTCACTTTAACACTACGTTCGCGCTGGGACCAATCCTAAATGTTACGGTCAGAGCGCAGCAGCGGAGTGTTTGTGGATGGATTTCTCAGCCCTGAATAAATTATTTGCGCTGCGGTTTGGCAGTGCCTTAGCTAGAGCCTCCTCGACAGTTTCCAAGCAAAAAACCCATATGCCCAGATTTGCCTGGCCACTGCCTTTAAGTCGAGAACGCGGTTCAGTTTCTGGCCCGGACGTGCATTACCTATCCTCACTGGGAGTAAACTTTTCAGTCTTTGTGGGTATTCGATGCCGTGTACTAAGAGGAGTTGAAGGTTCTGTTTTGAGCCTCCAGTAAAACAAACGGCTAGTTCAACAACTTTTCAATCAAACTTGATTTATCTTTGACTGTTATACCCACACTGCGTTTGAATGAAATATGAACAGGAGCTGATAAGACCCTCAACACATATGTCAGAAGAACATCTGTGTTCATATAATCCCATCCCCCCTCCCTCTCCCCAGGAATCACAGCATGAAAAAGCTACGGTCGCGACAGCTCGGAGCCAATTACTTATTTGTTGAGCACAGTTCCGCAGGCAGCTGAACAATTTACCGGTTATTTTTCAATACAATCATGTTTGTAAATTGTTCAAGCCTGCGGGAACCGCGTCAATGCCTAGCGTGGGATTTGAAAATGTCTCCGCAAATTTGCGCGTTTGTGCGGCGTGGGGCTCTTAACATCATGATCGCTAAGACCTCGGGCATACTTCACGCGATTACAGTTGCATCGCGATCTGGCAATGCTCCAATTGTCCATAACTCATCGTAAGCGCCATTCAAATGTACAAAAGATAGGACATTTTATTAGTCCAAGTAAGTTATACACGCTATGCATTCGTAGTCTGCCAATGTTGGATTGTAGGAATCTGGGAAATTGCCAGATCGCAAGGCGACTGAAATTGTGAAATGTGCCCGATTCCTTAGAGCGATCATAGCCACTATGCTATACTAATGCTTCGGTGGTTGCTTGCAATGGATAAATGCAAAAACAATCTTGTGATAAAGCTTAACCAAGCAGTTCACCACACTTGCTTTTTCGTGTTTAACGCGCCTTATTCTTGTAATTTTCAGGCTTGTGCTCTGTGGTTTAGGTTCTCTGTTATTCTCAATCACCCCAGGCTGCGATCTTGGCTACTCAGCTCTACTCGGGCGCTACTTTTCTGCTGCTATTCATGGCTCATTATTTTTGCGAAAAGTGGAGGTGATGTCTTAGCTCGCGATGTAGGTCACATCTAAGGCTCAAGGCGTACTTACCGCGATTCTAGTCGCATCGCGATTTCCACCTCGCACACATGTTTCGAGTCCGCAGCGCACGCGCGCCCAACTGTATAGGCCGTCCGCGCTGCGCACGGAGAGCAACGCTGTTGCGTACATTGAAGGCAGTTCACGACTGGAAGAAGCGCAGAGAAAAACAGGCGGCGAGAGTGCACGAGGAAAGAGGAGTAACGCGCAATACACATCTTGCGCACTCTCCGCGCCCTGCGCGGACGGCCTATATGATCGCGCCGCGTCTATGCTAGATTGACACTGCGAGGAACTGCGGGCCTTTTTTGGGCTGCATTTCCTCAGCGGGATATCGTTGCTATATCATCAAGCAGTGGCGTACTGAGGGGGGGGGGGAATCCCCCCCTCCCCCCCCCCCCGAGAATGGGTCGCGAAATTTTTGAAAGTTGCTTATAAGGGTTATAAAAATGTGCAAATGACTTGTTTATACTTGTAAATAATTAAAATAATTTTAAAAAATTTTTAAAAATTCAAACTAGCCTTGTAAAAAAAATTTTTTCGGGGGCGTGGCTGACGCCCCTTTTTTCAGATTTTAGGGGTTGGGGACCCGCAAAAATTTTGAGAAGCACCCCTAAAATTTTTTCGGAGTGCGTGGCTATCGCCACGCACCTTCATCCTCTCCCCCCCCCGAGCGGAAATCCTGAGAACGCCACTGTCATCGATATATCATGGCTCAAACTCAGCGATGTCGCCGTCGCTAGTTCTGCACCAGCCACTGGCGAATCGCTCAAATGGCTTTTTCTTTGTGAAGTTTTATATTTTTTGGCAAATGCGAATTTCATTTAGAACTATTCCATCACCACACCAATCCTCTCTGCATGAGAGAATGATGGCCATCGAACATTCCATACTACTGATTGAAAACAACAAATGCGATATTCATGGTACTAGCTGGCATATCCTGTTCGCTTGCATTGAGAGTTTAACTGGTTCAACAAAGACCAAGATTCGCGCCCAACTTTCACAGCTCAGCTCGCTGCATTTGGCTTTCTTCTACTTTTCGTGCAACACAGACTTACCTAGTCGCATCGCCTTGATTTACCGCAACTCACTCATTGTGGAATAAGATTGAGTTCTACCGCTATTGTTTATATGAAAAGTGAATATGATTTGATAGCAGTGATTAGAGTTCATTTTTTAAAAATCAACTCAACAGAATGAGGCAAATTTCGCCGCAAAAAGTAGCCTGAGGAGTGGGCCGACTTCGAACATTTATGTGTGCGAAGTTTCGCGCTGATTGGTCTACACACAAGAGTTTCTATAAAGAACACAGTAACTAACAATTTACCAACACTCACCTTTATACTTGGATAAATGCACTTCAGACAAACTAGCGCAAAATTTCCAAAGGTGCGTACAACGCGGTGTGGTATGTGACCGTCTACGAAATCGCTTGGGTGTCCGATAATCAAGCGATAAGCGATTTTCACGCAGTGAACGGTCGCCCAGGCAGTCTACTCGCAGCTCGAAAATCGTAGCAATGGGGCCGCTGGAGGTATGCCTTACAAGGGAAGGATAGTTGGATGCCGCGGCCATTTCTAATGATTTGTATACCAAAAAATGCGCCTTCAAATGCAGATTCTGAATCTGTGCTCGAAATCTGCGAAACGATCTTTTGAAGAAAGTTATGAACTTTTTTCCTTGAAAATTTAGCCTACTTTTGGATAGTAAAAATCACAAGATTTGACCTAGCCTACCGTTTGATGCTACTGAAGAAAATTTTAGACGTAGTAATATTTATTTAGACTATCTGGATCATACTCAGCATTTGGAAAGGAGAGAAACTTTTTTTATTGTTGATTTTGACCCTCCGCAGGAACGCAATTTTTTTAATGAAAAGAAAATCATAACTCCATTCAGATTATCGTTTCGCAGATATGAAAGACAGTCTACGAACCAGCATTCAAAAGCGCATTTTTTGGTATACAAATCATTATGAATGGCTACGGCATCCAAGTATCCTTTCCCTGTTAGGTTTAAGCGCCATGTTCTAGCTCAAGCAAGGGTCGCAATTTGCGTTGACGCGATTGAACGGGTGTTGGAAGACAGCCGGCAAACCTCTCGAAGGCCTGCCAAATGAAACTGAGCTTGAGCTTAGGCTGTGACCTAAGCCAAGGGGTTACTTCGGGCCATATGCAGAAAAATGTGCTAGTCCAAATATTTGCTAGATCGTGCAGGCCTCTCTCAAATTCATGCGGTGCAGATGACTGCAGTTTGGCTTAAGCCTTCTAACCAAGAAAAATATTTACTGCTGTCAATGTATTCTGCATATCGCATATATTGCAGATTTTAGATATACATCTACGACATACAAATCTTCGAGATATCTCACTCCCGAGGGCGGCAGAGAAGAGTGCCCGTAAGAGGAAGGTGGGTCTTCTTTAGGGCCAGTGCCTCGTGTGCAACTTTTTTTGCAGGGATGAATTGCGTACTTTATTTTGGAGTTGTTTACGAAGCAATCCGAGTATTTTTGGGTCATACACTGGAACAATATTCGACGATTTCTCAAAGTGAGAATGTGATAAAAAATGACGGATTTCTGTTTTGCGTTTCCAGAGCTTTTACTATCAATCGCTGGCGCTTAAGAAATGACAGAGGGAATGTGCAGTTCTATAAGTCTGAAAGAGGTTCAGAAAAGGTATGCTGGACCGTATGTGCGGCTGATTCTCGGCCAGTTCTCCACATTTCCAGGAATGTAGTATGTCCATCAAGCCACTCACTGATTTAACCTTTGATTTATCGAGCAAAGACGACCAGCAAAGGAACAACTCCGCTCTAGTGACTAAGAATCTTTTCACTCAAAGAGCACGATATGCGCCTGAAATGGGCGATAGCGGCTGGTTGGTTCTTCCATGCAGTAGTAATAATGAATGGCAAAATCTTTTTTCTGCTTTTTTTTGAACTATCTTATGTTCAAAGCTTGTCACCCACAATGCAATTTGAGGTCTTTTGTCAATCAGTGGGATGTCTGCTATGGTTCCATCTATCGGGTACCTCGTCAAGGAGATGATTTAGAAACTAGCGTGAGATTTTTTTCTTATGTTGTGCCTTCTCTTGTTCGTTACTTCAATTTTTAGGTAAAAGTTGCGACAGGAGTACGGGCATGGTTGGGTATCTACAACTCCGTAAAGATGCTTGAAGACTGCACCCCTGCCCTAGCCTTCGGCCGTTAGTTTTTGTTTTATCATAATTTAGCATCTGAACTCGATATCGACTAGATCTGTGCTTATTTTTTAGATTTAGAACCCTGGAAGGTTATAAATGCGTTCCTCATTTGTGAACAGTTTTGATCCGTTCATATCTCAAGCCAAATTGAGGTATTTCAGTTGTGAATCGGCTCTACTACGAAATTGAGATGGACTTACTGACTTTCTATTTAGATTTTCTTGAAGAAGTAAGATCTAACGAAGTACGAGAATTGTGAAAAGTGCAAAATTACACTTTTAGCTAGGGTTATCACATGAAAGGGAAAGAAATCCGCAGTTCCTGAGAGATATGGGTATGAATACACATCAACGAAAACGCATGACGAATCGATTGTGTGGTTTGCGAGTGATGACGAGGAAGTTTTTATCATGGGACAGGTACTCCAATTCGCATGTATACATTTGAAAAAACACTTCTAAATATGCTTCCTTCCGATTAGCGCCTTAGAGCAAGTTGTTGCGAGCTGGAGTGATCCTCATGCACCCGTATATCATAATCGCGAAACTTGGGACATTAAAGGCAGCGTCCAGGCAT